GGTAGTGTGCATGACAACTTTTTCCTACAATGTTGCCTTTATAGAAAATTAGAGTCATGCAACTCTGTGTCTTTCAGTAAAGACGTAAAGTGATGAAAGTGTCTGAACTCTCAGTTTATTGCTCAACGTAAAGTTTTAAATGTCTATTGTAAAGGGCAGATTATGAAAATATTTTTTTAGGGCTTTTGGGCAAAGCTAATATGTTGAATTTTGTTGACAATCAAATTGACTTGAACAGCACTGATTGAGTTTTATCTGGATATCTCTGGTTAGGCATCTCAGTAGTACCAAGTCAAATGTAGTGCAAATTATGGCTTACAGACTTACAGAAAAATAAAATATAAAGGTTTCTGACATGCACATTTTATCTAAGGCACACACAGAGAAAATTACAAACATAATTGGCTGTAATTTAACATGTAGATACTCAAAAAGCTCTGTGCTCCTCATTGCTTTGGAAAATGCCTGGTAATAATGCAAAGTATATGGAATGTTTCCCCTTCAGGGACCCATCATGCACTGTGCTGTCATTTACAATGGCATTTTTAAATGTCACATGTCCACAAGGCACAGGATGTGACTTGACAATGTGGTAAGTGCAGACAGATGCATGTTGTTTTTGCAGCACCAGACCACTTTGCATTTCCCAGCATTAGCAAATTATTAAGCATTGACGGTTGATTTGTGGACTTTCTGTTGGGCATTTAGATAGAAAAGGGAAGTTTAAAGTTGCATGATGTGTGCTTTTTCTCAACTGGCTTTCCAGAGTGACGTAATTCTGACACCTTATGAGAATCATTTGATGGACAGGTTTCAAAATAACACAGCAACCACGTAGCCACAGGAAACCTTCCTTACTATTATACAAGGGCTTTATTTTTGACAACTGTGTCAAAGTCTACAGTATGGGCCCCCAGTTGCATCTAACCTCTCACAAAATAACCTGTGTTGTGTCATCCCCCATACTGTCATACAGCAACATGTGTGCTGTTACTGATGTCAGCTTTCGATTCAAGCACTTACAGTAGGTTGGTTGTGCAAGTGAGATTTTATCTGAGGGTGAATGAAATGAAGAGAGAATAAACGAACATTGGCTTAGTGGTTGTATCTATGGCTCTTGAACCTCACGTGTGCCTGCTGGCTCAGGAGGCTTCAATGCCAAACAAACTTTGATCAAAGTCTCCCTTAAACTTTCTCTTTAAACTGTTCCCCAAATAATTTCTGTTTGACTAAAAAGCATGTATTTGTGAGAGTGTAACTGTCCACTCTCACTTAAAGAATTTTTTTTAGTATTTGTCAATGTGTAGCTGCTGCTTAGCTACTCCCAGTTTGTGGATAGAAAGGGGTGATGACTCTGATGTGAGATAAGAGAGCGGGAGGGAGAAGCAGAGACGTGCTGCAAGGCCACATCTCACATCCTGATTGCCAGTTTGCAATTTGTGTAATCTATATATGTCTTGGCCTCCGGAGAAGGCATAAAGTAATTAGCAGGAGTAATAACATGTCTAACCTCATGATGGACAGAAAAACAAAACATAAAATGAGTTTCATTTTGTGTTTCCTCTAAATGATATTACAGAATAGGTGCACTCGTGTAGTGCCTAATGTTCCTGTTTGTAACAACAATTGTTATTACAAGTCTTACTGTTCCACATATTAGCTGTTGACAAGGTTTGTGTGACTAAAGGTCTGATCCAGCTCTAGCTGTTCCGAATAAAAAGGTTCTTCATTTAGAAGTTTTTAAGAAACAACACTGTATACTTTTGTAAATAAGTTTGTACTGAAACTAAAAACACAACTTCCCTCAACCATTAACATTTACTATGGTTTTGTTGTTTTTGTGTGTGCCTGTATGTGGGCGTGCACATGCATGTGTATGAGCTAAGATGGGTCAGAGGAAGTGTGTGTTTTGTCACATTGTGTTATCATGTGGGCAAGCAAACATTTTGACCAAACCTCTTCTTTTTAATGCGTAGGCAATTTACAGTAAATCGTGATAAAGTACGATGGTGGACACTAATGATGTGTGGGTGAAGTTTAGGGATCCATGATTTTCAGCATTCATCCCTTTTTCTCACAAGATGAAACACTGAACAATTTTATTCAAATAACTTCTTCACTTAAAGTTTTTAGTGCAAGTCTACCAACATGACGAACAGCAGTTCACATATCAAACATGTTCTTTATAAATTCCTGTCTGCTAGTTGGCTCACTGACATGGTATGAAACATGGTGTGGATACCAACCAATCAACAACCATTGCTGGTTTAACACAATACCTCTGAGGCTAACACCCTATTTATTAGTGCTTCCCTTAATCCAGATGGTGTAATGGGTTTAAACTGAAATGAACAAACAAAATTGGAGTGCAAGTGCTCAAACATGTATTTCACTGTGAGGGATTTCAGCCACAGGTATAAAAGATATGGGGAAAACAATAGGCGGGGCGGTGTAAATACTTCAGAGTTTCCTTTCCTTGTTTCCTTGTTCTCTTTTGTGTCAAGGGGCTCACACACACACAGTGAGAGAGAGCGAATAAGTGAAGTCAAATAAAGTGCAGTTTCATTAGCATTACATAACTGTAACAATACTACTGCAACTGTTAGCCAAGACTTATTTTTCTGCTACAGGTCATACATACATCCTACCACAGAGTTTGCATGCAGAAATTGACTCAAAAGCTGGTAGTCTGCTGCCCTCTTGTGATTTGTGTTTACCATGGCAGGTTAGAACCAGTGTTTGTCTCCTAGTGGAGGAGACCAGATCATGTGGATCAAGACATGTGACACTCAGTATTGTAACATGACTGCAGACCATCTTCTCAAACCACTTCCTCTCCTGCCATCAAAAGAAAGAAAAGTATATATAATATAATAATTGAAATAGAGTTCTTGATTTTATTTCAGTTTTATTTTGCCAAGTAAACTAGTTGTAAATAAAAAATAATAATTAACACATGGTGGGTTAGAAAGGACAAAATCAAACAAAAAATAACATACAGCATATTTTTGTTCAAGCAACAGAATGTTTGTAGTATTGGGTCAGGAATGGTTTTTGTCTTCACTGAGATGTTTTCAGCTTAAAAGGACTGCAATCCAAAGGAAATATGCCTATGTTTTAAACTTTAGAGTATAACCTACAACATTTTTTGTCAGAATTGCTATGTCAAATGTCCTGTACAGTGTACACGATTGACAACATAGCCTGCTATATGTTTTCAACAATGTGCTTAAAATACACCAGGCCAACATAAAAAGAGGCACATTTTGTAGACAGGCAAGGAAGCAAACTCTTGAGGCTCCCAACAAGGACCAAGGACTGACCAGGGAAGGTTAAAATCAAGGGCACTGGACTGGTTGAAGATACTTAAAGACGTTTCGCCTCTCATTTGATGTGCTTCTTCAGGTCTGACTTACTGGTGGGGAACAGATTTATCCTCCGTTGGATCATTATGAAGGTGATGGATAGGCTAATGCTTGAATTGTTAGTGCTCCTGGCTGTTGTGACGACAGTCATTGTGGTTGTTGGAGTCACGTGAGGCTAAGTCTGAACGACCGTCGTTGGCATTGCCACATGAGGCCAAATGTTCAATATCCTGGTAAGAGATGAAAAGACAGCATTGTAAGTGGGGAATAAGTTGTTGGCTCCTCCTCTGTTTAGCGATGGTCTCTCTATTCTGTTGTAAATGGCCTCCCTGTCCAAAATATGTACATGGTTGTCATCGAAAGAATGTCCCTTGACCTTCAAATGTAGGTAAACTGTGTTGACCCTCTGCGTTGAGCCACGCATTTCCTTTCCGAATATACAGATCACTGCATTCCTCACTGCATTGGACAGAGTACAACAGATTACTTTTCTTGTGTTGCGTTTGGGCAGTTCAGTTTCTGTCTTATGGAATCAAGATGTTGTTGCGTTTACTCTTCTTTTCCTTATTACTTGTATTGTCAGTGTTCTTCCTGGATCTTGTAGCTGTTTTTGGTATCCACAAGCTTTATGTGGCTCCTTTGGGTGCTTATGCTCCTTCTCATGGGCTTGGGCACATGTTGGTATGTTGTCAGCTCAGGGGTGGGGGGTTCTGATTACCCCTGGCTTATGCTCCTGAAGGTGGTGAGATTAATTTGCAGGCACTTGTCCTCTTTAATGTGTGCAGCACGGTCCACGAAGGCCAAGATGTTGTTGCTGACATGTGAACTTGATGTTACTGTCCACAGAGCTGTTGTGACAGGAGGCCCAGTGAACCAAGTGGTGTCACCTTGATAATGACCCCACAAAGGTAAAATGGCTGGTATTCCCTACCAGTCAGTCAGAACTGAAGAAGCCCATCAGATTAGAGGCAAAACATCTTCAAGTATAGTCAACCAGTCTAATTGTTTTTGATTTTAACCTTCAGTGGATAACTATGATCTAGATGACTGAGAATCTTCACAGACAACGACAGACCTGACTCCATAGCAAGGAAACCTTTATAGACAACATTTTCTCACACAGAAACGGCAGAATAGGTCGATAGATGATGTCTGCAAAACGTCCTATATGAGTGTTTTAATGACTCCCAAAACGATATATTTGAGCATTTTCATTTCTCCATTGCAACACAGGAAGGTTAGGGTTAGGCCGATGTGCTGGCAGGAAGAGTTAACTGGCCGACATGCATACAATCATGGTCATGCACACAGCCCTGTGATGGTAAGGGGAAGAGTAAGTAAGGGTAAGGGGCTTCAGGGGACAACTGAACTAAAAGATTTAAGTAGGCCTGGGATAATTAGCCTAATATTTGAATAATAGTTTTAGAGTAGCTATATTGTAGAAGCCCATGGCTGGCTTATCACTGAGCAAAACTGGCTGTTTAGCTTGGTTAAATATCATGGTTCTGTTCCACCACAATTACAACATCACACATGTGGTTTCTTACTAGTAGTTAATAAAGCAACAGTGTGTGAGTCAAAGCCCAGTTGAGGCAGCCTCTGTGCGGCTGTTGCTGGGAGCTCCGGCCAATCAAAGCCGCAGCTCTCCCATACAAGTACTTTGGGGGCTGGAGAAGCATGACATCATGCACAGCTCCGACCCTCTCAGCGAAAACAAAGAGTGAAACATCTTTTTCTCACTACAGGAAATAACAGTCGACGACACAAACGTCTGCACTGTGAAATTGCGAGGCGCCTTCCATAGAATACACCGGGAGTCAGGCCCTGGTACCCCGGTGTACGCAGAATCTGGGAGGGGCATCCTTCCGTCCGTCAGTCCGGGCTATGGCGGATGGGGAGGCCGCCGTGTCTGTGGAGTGGGACAGCGGTGATGGGGGCTTAGCAGAATAACATCCCACATCTGCATCTATATTTTCTCTGTTTAGCTTGGTACTCAGCTCTCGCCATGGATCCAGAGAAAACGCTGACATTCTGCCTCGGGCTGAAGGCTGAGGAGGTAATGCACTGCACAGCTTTCCTTTGATACAAACACTGCTGTCAACAGCTGGGCTTCATTCTGCAGAGCAACACGCTTCCCTCTGCCTGTGTTGTTGACAAACAGTGGCCTCAACTTGTTCTGTACTCATCTGTCTTTACATTTCTTTATCATGAGTCGTTGCACCTTTTGACATATTTCTGGAGACAGTGTGTGCATTTTTGCACCACTGCAGCAAGTGGTTTGTGTGTCCAGGAAAGTCAAGTCAGGTATGGGTTTTTGTTGGATTTGTGGTCAGTGGAAAGGCTGACTGCGATGCTTTAGTCAATGCAAAAACATAATAATTAGATATGTGGGACTTCTGATGCACAACAAAATGTCTGGAATATTATGGGGATATTTTTTACAAATGTTTTAAAATTTACTGCAAGGTCAATAAACTCAAATTCTAAATTGAGTGAGCTACCACAGAAATACAGTCAACTTTCTCTTGGAATACTAAAGGAATGTTATGCAGTAAGTTATATATTATTGATTTTAGTAGTAGTTTGTGACTTGTTGACTTGTGTTGCTGAAACTGCAAATATATTTGAATGGATGTCTTGCTTCAAGCAAAGTAGCTGGGAAAACCTAATGCACCTATTATTTAACTATAATTTTTGCAGTTGTGACGTTTTAATCACGCTTGGATAAATTAGAGTTTATTAGACCTTTTACTGCTAGACCATTATAGCCTTATACATCTAATTTACAGTTGCTTGTCCAGTAGAGGAATGCCATACTGCTGACACTGCCGTTTCCTTGTTTCAAGTCTGTTGTTGTATGAATTTATTTCAGCCTATACAGCTGCATTTATAATACCACAATGAAAACATAATTTTCTTACATAAAGAAACGTTCATCTATGTTCAGCCATTCATCGTGACATGTAAAATAACATTGACCACAAGACCCCTGACACTAAAAGGTGAAAGTCTTGTGGGGAGAATTAAACCATAATTAAGTACAGAATTTCTAAAGGAGGTTGAACCAGATTTACAATGTACGTATACTTTTTCATCAAGAAAGAAAAAAAGGACAGTGTGTAACTTGAGTTTTTTTCCCTACTATATGTTGTTTTGGTCTAAGAGTGTGTCAGTTTCTTGGCATTTGTTTGTTTGAAGAACTTGGTCCATGTCGTCATATAAGATGAGTGTCTGTCTTTATATGTCTTGATATGTCTTGATCCTCACCATAATCACATCTTAACCAATAATCATGTCAGTTTTACAATTTAACATCATTGGTCATGGTCTTGTTGTCTACATTACACAGTGACACGTTTTGTGTGTATGTTCTCAATTTATGGTTGCCAACTGAAGCACTAGCTGAAATATATTTGACTCAGTGGTATTGTTGTGGCGGCTTACAGAATTTTGATGGTTGTCTTACATCCTGCTGCCTTCCACAGTCAGCCTCCACTTGATTTTGTCTTTACTTGTTTATTTATGGGTTTTCAGGTTGAAGAGAAAGGCTCGAACCATCCATGACCCACAGTCAGACACACACAAAGTGACATGTCACAGGTGTCATGTCATCTAGGATGGATGTAATGTCGGTGCGTGAGTGTGTGTGTTTATGTGTGTGTGTGTGTGCGTGTGTGTGTGTGGCGATGCTATGGAGAACTCCGGAACCCCAGGGGTGGAAATAATTTGTGGCTAGTCTGTGGTCTCTGGGGAAGTCTGCGTGTACTCAGTGCCATGTGGCTGGCTTACCACAGGAACTCAGCTTGACATCACTGACGCCAGTAAATTTCCCCACTCGACTCTGACTTTCACAACGGTATAGAAGCTTACTTATTAACCACCTGTGGTTATATTTGACAGTTGGATATGCAGCATGACTTATATGTGGGGTAGTGTTGCACAATATTTAGTGGTATGCACAAATCAGAAACAAACACAGTTTGCAGGATTTCTTATTTATCTCGAAGTAGTAATAGCCAAGTAGATGAAAAATAACAAATAGCAAATAACATTGTCTTGAATCTTGAAATCAGAATTTTGCCAGTTTAAAAGTTTTTGTCTGGCTTTTACAACAAGATTTGATTATTAATTATTGTATCAGTGCTAGTTTCTAGCCATATAATAGCACTGCCTGTGAAGATCATGTGTCCATGGCAATACAGTGCTGCATGCAGCCTGATACATGTTTGGTGTTTGGAGTTATCTGTCTCATGCTCTGCCTGTATGTCCATGGTTAGACATTGCTCTTATAATGTTTTGTTATGCAATATAAAATCCCCGCATGCATCAGGTGTTGAAGAAGTGTATAGTATGCACAGTTGTATATGATATTCTACAGTACATATGAAGGTCTCTAGACTAAGTAATAGCTACTATTGTCATTTGTACACCCTTGGGGCGGTGTGTGGTGTTAGCTGCTTCTTGAATTTTGGCTCACTCATTTTGCACTTTGTAAATAGACAGTAGTTTTAATTCTGAACTTGTACATGGCTGTGCAGGCGCTGACATGTACATACACACAATGCTGTCTAGGGCCAACGTTGTTCCCAATCCCGAGTACATAACCAGCAGCCAGTTGTTAACAAAAGAGGTCTCATTTACATGGCTTAAGGTCGGGTGTGCAACAAGGCAGTGAGCCCCCAGTGTCTCCACATTGTTGTTGACAGTGGCCCCACGTCCCACAGCACACATGCAGGCATTTTTTCCTTTTACTCACTGAGGACCTGAATGACATTTGCAGAGGCATGAGTGACACAGAGAATTTTAAATCTGCACCTTTACAGCATTTGGGTAGCATAATAGCACATATAGTATTCATTTCCACTGCAGATAATATTTGGACACAAATCATTATATTCTCATTCACTAATAGTGCCTATGTCCTAGGATCCATCCTCATACGGTAGGTAGGTAGGTCAGCCTGTGTGATGGTTGTAGGTTTACCTGCTGAGATGTTACAATTAAAATCTTATGAGGAAAGTGATAGTCTTTTAAAATGTGACTGCTTTAGTGTTAGAGTGCTTTGTCAATTAGCAGATCAACAGAAAAATAATTAATTTCAATAGCTGATTCATCAATGCATTCATTTATCAAGGAAAAATGCTTAACATTTGCTGATTCCAGCTTCTCAAATGTTAGAACTTTCTGTTTGTTTTTTTTAGTCATTGTAAAATAAGGCTCTTTGGGTTTTAGAGTGTTGCTCTGACAAAAGAAGGAATTTGAACATGTCACCTTGAGCTTTAGAAATGCATGATGGACGTTCTTCTCTATTTTTCTGACATTTTGTAGACTAAACAGAAGTGTTAACCAAAAAATAATAATAATCAGCAGACAAATCAGTAATGATAATTTGTAGTTTCAACCCTTGACTGTTTTAATTCACCACAGTTTTAGAGAGGTACCTTTTGCATGCATGCGTTTTTGAAAGATATGAGGAAATAGAAAGGGAGAGAGCACACAAGGTATTAAGAGTGTGTCCGGGAATTGGTGCCTTTTGTCTGCTATCTCGGCCCACAGAGGAGAAATGGGTTTTGTTAAAAACCCATTGACCTTTCCATCTCCTTGAATAGCCAGGAGTGTAGGCCAGTCTGGAAAATAGGCCTGTAGTGGCCTTTTCTTGACATGCTTGATTACTAGAATAACAACAGTGTAATTTGTTTTTTTGTGAAGCATGAGCCCTTAAAACATGTAGTGCAGATCTTTTGTTTATCATTGCCATTTATATCGTATCATTACTCTCTCTCTCGCTACTGCTCCATCTTAACCATACCTCTTTGTCTTACCAGATGACCATGTCCCTGCAGGGGCTGGACGGGACAGAATCTGCTACGGTAGGTAGCTCGACCTTCAACCACCACTAAACATTTCATACCACTCGATAATACAAATCATTGTCCATGTGAGTAGAAAAGGCCTCCAAGCGTAACCACAGTGGTTGCTATGGCAATGCATAATTATTTGTTGGCACTTTTCAGTCTCATGTGTCGTAACTATGTACATAACAGATTTTGTAACCTTTCACTGTATTATTATTGCGTTTATGTTTTTGCTGAAGTGCTTGAGCTCATCTCGACTTTTTATGAAGTGTCAAACATTTAACATTTGATGTCTGGGTTTAGTTGTGCACTTGTTTCTCTCCTTCACACCGACTTGCTAATGATTCAGATGTAACTCTTAAAATTCAGAGGTCCTTTCATTTCTCATTTTAGGTGGCCGTTTCTCAGGAGGCTGACATGCGCACAGTAAATAGGGTGTGAAATTTCGAAATTTAACCTTAACCTGTAGCTGCCAATAGGCATGCTGTCATCTTACAAAATAATCTTAAAGCTGCACTAATCAATGCTTTTATAGTAACAACAATGTGTAATGTGAAAGGGGTCACTCATAACGAGGAACCCAGAGAGAATTATCACCCACTGCGAAGCCTTTTAGCATCTTTCAGCTCATCGTTTGATTTTATGGCCCACCACTTTACTGTTTTACTACAGTTTCAGGCTCATATCAACTCTGTTTATAGCCGCAGCAGGAAGATTTGCTCAACAAAAAACTCTAATAAACCCACTGTACACAACCTGCACATCACCAAACAACAGACATACACATTTAGAAACTAACTAGTGAACATAGGTGAGCATTTACCAGTTAAAGAGCCAGAAATTTCCCCCAGGAGTTGGTGGAGGCCACTATTCATGGTTGTGTAATGGGGTAGATTGGAACCCCTTCATACAGTTATTTTCCCTATGGTGATATATGATGCTAAGGCTGTCCCTGACTAAGGATTTACGTAGTCGAATGCTGTGTTTTGTGCTCTAGGTGGTGAAGCATTATGGGGTTTCTGGTAGCCGACCTACTGTCAGTTTATCATTGTCATTATATCGTATCATTACTCTCTCTCGCTACTGCTCCATCTTAACCATTGTACCTCTTTGTCTTACCAGATGACCGTGTCCCTGCAGGGGCTGGACGGGACAGAATCTGCTACGGTAGGTAGCTTGACCTTCAACCACCACTAAACATTTCATACCACTCGATAATACAAATCATTGTCCATGTGAGTAGAAAAGGCCTCCAAGCGTAACCACAGTGGTTGCTATGGCAATGCATAGTTATTTGTTGGCATTTTTGTGTCGTAACTATGAACATAACAGATTTAGCAACGTTTCACTGCATTATTATTGCGTTTATTTTTTTGCTGAAGTGCTCATCTCAACTTTTTATAAAGTGTCAAACATTTAACATTTGATGTCTGGGTTTAGTTGTTGTGCACTTGTTTCTCTCCTTCACACCGACTTGCTAATGATTCAGATGTAACTCTTAAAATTCAGAGGTCCTTTCATTTCTCATTTTAGGTGGCCGTTTCTCAGGAGGCTGACATGCGCACAGTAAATAGGGTGTGAAATTTTGAAATTTAACCTTAACCTGTAGCTGCCAATAGGCATGCTGTCATCTTACAAAATAATCTTAAAGCTGCACTAATCAATGCTTTTATAGTAACAACAATGTGTAATGTGAAAGGGGTCACTCATAACGAGGAACCCAGAGAGAATTATCACCCACTGCGAAGCCTTTTAGCATCTTTCAGCTCATCGTTTGATTTTATGGCCCACCACTTTACTGTTTTAGTAGGGGAGACCGGGAATGGTTGTAAAATGGGGAGAGTTCCACCAAGTAGAAATAAGATAGGAGTTAAGTGATCATTTCAGTATTTACCTACTTCCCCCCCAATCAAGCATGGTGCTTATCAAGCCTGGAAAGAGGTAAAGAGGTATGCATTCAGAATATATAGAGATTGGTTTTTGACCAAGACTATTTTTTGTTTAGTATCTATACTATTGCAGATTGCCCTATGCAGTCTGGGCCCACCAAACCCGCACTCCAGGGTTACCAGCATTAATTTGTCAGCACTGTGACCAGTACTCCCCATTCACATGTTGTACACATGTATGCGTATGTATGGTCACTCCGTACTCGGTCTCCGCCGGTGGAGAAGTGTGTGCGCAATAAAAAGTCCCGGTACGCCAAAGAGTAAAATATAGAAGTGCTGGTATACGTTCCAGTGAATACCGGCCCACTTCAAGCACTGACTGTGACTCTGAATAAGAATACAATTATATACAGTTATTTTCCCTATGGTGATATATGATGCTGTGTTTTGTCCTCTAGGTGGTGAAGCATCATGGGGGTTCTGGTAGCCGACCTATTGTCAGCTCCAAGTACTGTCCCGGGGTAAACAACAATCCGGGTTACCTGTGTGAAACAGGGCACTGCTGCGGAGAGACAGGATGCTGTACCTACTATTACGAGCTCTGGTGTGAGTTCACTGACTGACTTTTTCTCCACTTTAGACTGTGACCTGAGGATAAGCCCTTTTTGGACTTAAACCTCCCTGCACATTTACCTTTCGTTGTTGTTGTGTCATTTCTTCACTTTTAACTCAAAAACTCAAACTAAACTCAAAACCAAAATACTGTCATGGTCAAAGATTTAAATAAACACTTGGAAGCACAACAACTGTTTTAGGCTATCTAGTTGGATCTGCTTGTTAGATCTTATAAAATAACTTTGAAATGACATCTAAAACTTCACATTTTTCTTCAGATCAGGTTAGATCATATAACATTGGGCATTTACTAAAGTTAAGAGTTAAGTAAATCCTTATGTTGACATCAAAGGATTTATCCACCTGTCCTACAGCTGTAGGCTAATACAAACCACTGCATTCATGAGCTTTCCTTGAATATGCGAACTGGAAGAGTATGTTTTTTTACAATATGCTGCACTAATTGCAAAAAACAGAACTAGCTAATACTTTGCTGTAATGAATTACCTCCTACATAAATAAATTAAATGAAACAACGCTAGAAAATAGGTCTAGAATCTGACTGTATGCTTTGGAAAATGGACAGCAGTGATGTGAAACATTATTGATTTGTAATGGGACAAAATATCCCAAACCAGACGAGCCAGTCGTTGATGTAGTTCAGTATGCGGATGCCCTGAAGCCTCAACGGGGCCAGAGCTGCATCCATGCATTTGGTGAACGTGCGGGGAGAGAGTGCTAGGCCGAACGGAAGAACCCGATACTGGTAAACCGTGCCCCCGAAAGCGAACCTCAGGAACTTCCTGTGAGAGGGACGGATTGGGGATATGGAAATAAGCGTCTTGCAGATCGATTGTGACAAACCAATCCTCGGATTGGATGTGACTGATTATAGCAGGGATGATAAGCATCCTGAACCTAAATCTCCTCAGAGATTGGTTCAGGGACCGCAGATCCAAAATTGGACGCAATCCTCCGTCCTTCTTGGGAACCAGGAAGTATCGGCTGTAGAAGCCGGCTTCTCTGACTGGCGGGGAAATGAGTTCTATGGCCCCTTTCCTTAGCAGAGAGCGGACTTCCTGTCCCAATACCTGGCTCTTTTCTGCGTGTACTGCAGTCCCGACCATCCCGCAGAATCTGGGGGGGCGAACCCGGAACTGCAGCCTGTAGCCATCTACTACTGTGCCCGGGCGGGCAGACCGGTGAGGGCCTGCTGGTGGCGTCCCGAGCGCTGAAGCGGTGGGGGAAACAACGCCTGTAGCTGGAGCCACCATGAGAGAGGGGATCTCGATCGACCTCTCTTGAAGTCTCAGGACCTCTTCTGACCGGCAGGGGAGATATCGCTCAAACGCCTCCCCCTGAGTTTTGGCGTGCTGGAACCTGTTGACGACAGCATCCACTGCTTCGCCAAACAGGCCAGTAGGCGAGAGGGGCGCATTCAGGAGAAAAGCCCTCTCCTTCCCCTGGATGCCCGAGAGGTTGAGCCACAGATGGCGCTCCGTAGCCACCAAAGCCGCCATGGATCGGCTGATGGAACGGGCCGTTTCCTTGGTCACACGGAGAGTCCGTCGCTCTACGGAGCTCAGTCAGGTCCTCCTCAGAGGGACCTCCCCCTACGTCACAGTCCCGAAGGAGATCGGCCTGGTATGCCTGCAAGACAGCCAGCGAGTGCAGGCTAGCACCAGCTCGACCCGCTGCCGTGTAGGCCTCACGTTGCCGTAGTCAAGCCGGGGGGGGACGTAGACAGCCGTGCAGAGAAGGGTTTGTTCTCCGGAAAAAATGGTAAGGGCCGACGCGGGGGTGATCTCGGCGATCTCGCATTGCGATCCCCAGGATCGGAGCCGCCGCGACGCCTCAGCGACCGCGGGGCCTGTGCCACGGGCGGAGTGCATCCGACCATCCTCTAGAAAGAGAGCCGCTCGAGACCTCAGCACCCTCAGGGGCAGGGCCTCGCAATGGTCGCAAGCAGCCCCCTCAAGACCTGCCTGGGCGTGCGACATCCCCAGGCATGAGACGCACATCCCATGGGTATCACCTTCCGTGATGAAGCGCTGACAGGGAAAGACACACTGTCAGAATCGCTTCGACATGATCTGCTGCTTCGTCTCGACTTCAGGTAGGATGATGGCGCTTCCAAACATAGCCAGAGTGCCAGCTGAATAGAAAGAATCTGATGTGCCGGTGTGCTTATATACCCCCCTCCGGTTACGCCGTCACACACTTCCGTTCTAGTAACACCAATAGGATTGGAGTAGTTTCATTCATAGTTCAGCCCTGCCACGCCCAGAGGCGTTCCCATAGTGTCGTCACCGACGCAGTTCGAGTTCCGTCAAAGGGGAACTCTAATGTTGGTTTTCATAATGTTGAATGTTAGAGTCATGTTGAGTTAATTTCCTGTTGTCTGCAGGGTTCTGGCTGCTGTGGACGGTGCTGATCCTCTTCAGCTGTTTCTGTGCTTACCGCCACCGCCGGGCAAAGCTGAGGATCCAACAGCAGCAGAGACAGAGGGAGATCAATCTGATCGCCTATAACGGAGCCTGCAACTACCCTTCCTCAATGCTGGACCTCAGTACGTTTGTTGTAGTATTTTATTTCATTTTTTTTGTAGATTTGTGTGCATTTACTGTCAGGGGAGCTACAGAGTCTGAGAATGCTGAAAGTCATGCTTGAGTCTTGAATACAGTTAAAAATAGTGTTTTATGTCTTGAAATTTTCCAGAACTGCTGTTCTTCTGAGGAAACAGAATTTAAACACACTAACAGTGAATATAAAACAGAATAAAAGCAATATAAAGCATGTACTAGGTAAAGCAACAGTGAACAGTGAACACACCAATGCAGATGTCATTTGGTACCACATAGGTTTGATATATACATACAGAGAAAGAGAAACAGAAAGAGGTGGGGCAAGCGTGTGTTTGCAGTAGGAGACCAGAGGTATAGGTGTGTGCATGTGTGAAAAGAGAACTGGAAAAAAGAGAAAAGCAAGGTGAGCAGATTCAAGTAGTGAGTAGACACTGAAACACTAAAATAATGCAACATCCATGTTGCAAAGAAAAGTTGAGATTTCAGATGCAACACTGACCCTATTTCTCTAATTGTCAATTAAAAGGTTCTAACTTTAACTGAATAAAAATTGTGACTCTTTGTTTTACCAGTTTTTGTCCTGGTAACTTCAGTATTTAAAAAGATCAAAACCAGTGTGTTTGCCCATCTCCCAGTACTTTCAGACTGTCTATGTCCCCAAACTCATTGGTTCTTACTTAGGACGTACAGTAAATCTTTCAGAACAGATCACAAATACATAGTTTCAATTTCAAAAAAGGCTAAATTCATAGAACAGCTGGGCACTGTAGTTTTTAACAAACTTTACTCAAACAAATAGTATATATTGCATTTGTTGGGGACTATTGGCCCAAAATAAACTACAATGTCCATGGTAATTGTAATAACATGTGGCAGTGCAGTGGTGTGGCTCATGGTTTTTGAACAGAGGAGGTCTATAGCACAGCGGACAGGCTATATCAGGCTTTACTTGTTAGTATGTTGAATTCATTGTTAATTTTGGTCTTTTAATGTGATTTATTTACAATAAGAAAAATATAGAATACTGGATTTCAATTTTATCCCATAACAAGTCACTAGCAGACTCCACATATGAGCTGATTTGCGAAATTCCTTTTGTCAAAGGCTTTCTGGCTTCCTTCAAGTTGCCCTCCTATGAGGAGGTGGCGGCGCAGCCCAGCACCCCTCCTCCACCGTACAGCTCCATCTTCGCCCTGCAGGGAGGTGCCATGGGGGGTCCTAGCTCCTCTTACCCCCATCATCACCACCACCGTCACCCGTGCCCTCCCTATCTGGGCCCCGGCCCTGGTACCATTGGCCTGACTTCTTCCCAGAGCTCTGACAACTACACCAGCTGCTCCTGCGAGTCGTGCTCCCTCACCTCCCCCTCCAGCACCTCCTTCTCTGTCCAGGTGACGGACGAGACGTATGACAGCAGCCACATCTCCACACCCAGTGAAGCAGGGGCCGACTGTGCTGTCATGCCAAGGGTTGGGGCCTACTTCACACCGACGCCTTCCCCGCCACCTCCATCACAAATTCCGCCTGATGTCATACCTGCGGTCACTCCAGATGTCATACCCGTACAAAGACGAGGACCGTCTTTGTACGGGTATGACGGCAGTGAAAGAGTCTCACCTCCGGATCCACCACTCTCTCTTCCTTTACACTCTCACTCTTCACACCCTTCTCGCCTCCCACTTTCTCCCCTCATTCTGTTATCTTCCTTTCCTCCCGGTCAAGTCCGTCCTCTCGTCCTCTCAGACCCACTTGGAGCTGTGGCTGTTCAGAAAGAAGAAGAGGCCTCGCCTTGTGGTCCAACCCCCAGAACCACTCTGTCTCCCCCTAAACAGGCTCTCTTCTCCTCAAATGTCACACATTGCAACAACAAAGAGGAGCAAAAGCAAGAAAAAGAAGAGGAGGAGGAGGAGGAGGAGGAGGAGGAAGACGAGGAGGAGGATCATTTCCGGCATCGACGGCTAACGGGTGACTCGGGCATCGAGGTATGTCGCTGCCACATGAAGAGAGGGGAGCAAGAGGAAGAGGAACTGCAGATGGGGCATTTTGGTAAAGGGGGGAGAGAGGCTGTGAAGGAAGGGGAGAGGGCAGACGTGCTGCATGACAGCGTGGACTGTCCCGGCCGAGCGAAGGCCACTGTTCACTCACCACGGCTGGGCGACGTCTCCTCATCCTCCAGTATTACCCAGAAGACAGGCGAGGCCATCATCCTTGTGGAGTCCTCATAAGCAGACAGCCAGTGAGATGTAGTAAGACGAGTGGATAAAGTGAGATGTTGATGCTTGATGGCGTCCTCATAGATCAAGACTAGTAGGTAAAAAGTTGAATCACCGAAGAAAAGTCTTACTGTAATGGTTGCAAGCAGAGGGACAGGATGAGCAATGGATCCTCTTGTTTTCTCTGTATTCTATTTCAAATGAGAGAAGCCGACACCTCAAAGTCCTATTTTGTAGTTAATTCATTTGTGGTTTGGGAAAAGGCATATCTTTTTCTCCAAAGTGATGTGAAAATGAATTGCTCTTTCTCTGTCTCAATGTCCCAACATGCTAACCAAATCCATTTTACTAATGGCTCTGTGTCAACATCCCTTATCCCTCTGCCGTTTACTTGCTAACATGCTATTTTAGCTCTTTGAAATAAAATCCCTAATAGTCAGTGGTTCCCAACCTGGGGATCGGGACCCCACCAAGGGTTCACAAGATAAAATAAAGGGAACATGTGATGATTAACAGTATAAGAAAGAAGAGAAACATCATCCTGTTAAATTAAGTCTATGCTAATTTTCTGATGACTCCCTAATCTTTGCTTTTTATGTGAAATTATGGATAGTTTTAACTCGAGAAGCGAAAATCAATCCTTGGTGGGACTGCTCACAACGTCTTGACATATGCAATGTATGAGAGGGTCGCAAAAAAATATTCTTTCATTGTAAGAGATCACGCAGCAAAATGGGTGGGAACCACTGCCTGATATAGCATATTACTCAAATCATCCCAGGCAGCTCAATCACCGTCTAAAAAAATGGAACGACGTCTTCTTGAATTGAAATATATACATATTCTAGGAGTATATGAATTGAGATCACTGAACAATTAATGTCCAAAAGACAGCTTTAACAAATTGTGTCTGGATCACTTTATATGATCTTAATTTATTTAATTTACTTTCTAACTTTTGAAAAGGACCACAATCATAGAACATATGAATCATATGTGATCTTTTTTTTGTGGGGTGAAGTGTTTGGTTTCACCAGCCTACTTCCCCCTGTTTGTCAGAGGAAATAATGAGTGAAGGCAACTATTATGACTGATTCAGTAAGTGTGTGTTTTATACTTTGTCTCTTAGCTTGCTCCCTAAAGGAAAAGGGGATGCAAACATTGATTTTAAAATGTGTGGGTGACAAAGCTTTACAATGGTATTATGATTATATGTTTTGGACTGTTACATGATTATACTGTTTAATTTACTGACGTTGGATTTAACGTGTTTGAACATGTTCCTGGTTGGTCGTGACCATTTTTGCAAGGCAATGGATATCTGATTCCTCCATGGACGGACTGTTGAGCTTTTACAAGGCAGAAACTTTAGGCCTGTTCTCATCACTGATAATGAATGTAAAAGGTTATGCATCGCAACAAAAATATATATACTTAAATTGTTTATGAGGATCTTTTTATAGCATGATGCTTGACTGAAAACCTCTGGAAAAGTGTCCAAAAGGGCATCAAGGCAATACAGTCTGCCAGGTGTGGGCTTTGAGATGACACTTTGAAATGAAGTGCCCAGTGTAATGTCTGCCTGAGTCAAGTAATGCTTGGGAAATATCAGAATATATATCAGAGGTGTAACTATAGGAAGTGAGGGTTTAGAGTCAGAGTCAGAATAATGCCTCTTTTATTATTGCTGTGGCTAAACGTGTAGTCACTTCTGAGGGTTGGACTGCTTTTCTCTAAATGAATTTTGCTTGAGCCGTTTTTTGTATGTAAAATAATTTGTCAGTTGACATCCAGTTAGACAGTGTCTGTCACTAGAGGTTGATACCCTTGATTGACGCTCTGTACTTCCTAGGATTGTGTCAAGTTGATCCTGGTGTTAGTAGTGGGAAAGCACACATGTACTCTCTTGTAATTAATTGTGAGTACATAATGTGCTGAAGCATAGAACAAGATATAGAAAGAAAGAATGTCTCAAATCACATTTTTGTACATGTTTGTCTTGCTGTAATTATTATAAGACTGATGTCTCTATAGTTAATTGACTAGAGGGCACTTTGTTGTGTCCTTAGCTCCGTGCAAAGCCGACTTTATTGTCTAATGCCTGAAGGCAAAGCTTTCAACTCACCGTTCATCCTCTGAACATATCAATATAAAAGCCTTTTGGCTACTGTACATTTTTTTGGCTAAATAATGGACAGTTGTTATTTTGTTATTAGTTCTAGCTGATGTATGTTTATGAAATTATATGGTGCCTAGATGAAAATAGACTTTCTGTTAGGCATTCTTTTGTTTACTGCTGCTATGTGAGTGCGTGTGATTTCTGTAAATTGTGTATAGTCGTACATCAAATGGTCCAAACATTTTCTATCAGTGCTTAGCAGTCTCTTTATAAAATATACACAGTACATATGTGAGACTTGTAAAAATAGTATTTAGCAATAGTATTCACACTTTTTCCTTACTCTAGTTAATGCTGGTTGATAGGAAATTAACTGTTGTGAAAAAGACATTTTACCTCTTTATATCTGATCCGTGAGCTGTGCTGGGCAGAGGCCCTTGATTGTACATAACACTTAACACTGCATTTGAAATGCCTTTGCTTGAAGGTTTCTCCCAAGTGCAAACTCAGATTATCTGGTTTTTACCTTAGCCCCAGTTTGTGCCTCTCATGTATTACCATTATGTTGAGGTCACAGAGCTCAGCATCCCTGTTTCTGAAAAATAAATACCTGATGATGATCTTTGAGAAAAACCCAAACGAACCACACAACACGTTGTTCTAAAGGTACTTTTAGATTCCTCAAAGACTCTTCCGTCCAATTGAGGGGCGACGACATCCTTCCGCTGCGTAATGTAAAAGATTTTTAAGCCATTTCTCAAGTTTCTGGTAGCTTGGAATAACATATGTCCTAATATTCGGGAGGAAAACCTGAGCTGTGTGATTTTGGGGGAAGTGAGTCCCGTTTTATTTTGTATTGTGCATACTATGAGGATTTCTGATTATCAATTTTCCATAAAATGGTTCTGGTATGCAAATAATAAAAACACTGGAATGGCTGTTTTGACGTGTTTAAATGTACTAACTTTATCTCACAAGCCTGGAAAAGAAGGCAAGATTGATTATTCAATCATCATTTATTCTGATTTCTCCAGTATTAGACAGCACATAGTACTCAAATTGGTTGTCCTTACTTTTAGAATATTTTGTGGTTTTGTTTGAAAATCTATATAGTTATTCTGAATCTGGTCTTTAAGAATTTGTAGTATGTTTTAGGTTGGACATAGTTGTATTCATGATGTTTAATGTTGAAAAAAGGAAATATACACATATCATACAGCGGGCCAAATATCTACACAGTTAGGATAATCCTTGAGGATTTTGAAAGTGTTTTCTTTTTCAGAAAATAATATGTTTAGCTAAGTGAATCATGCATGTAATGGTAACACGCAAGAGGCCAGGACAGGGGCTAGTTTGACCCCAACTCTGATTTTACATTAAAGCCAAACTGATCTGAGTTTAGTGTATATAGAACCAGTTTTTTCTTTTGCCTTGTCAGCAGCTAGTATGTACAGACAAAATGCCCAAACTCTACCCTCATTGCCACAGAAGGCCAAGGCCTGATATAAGACTGTTACCTCGCTGAGTTTTGACTGCAAAGGACTGTTTACTTCTCCTTATCAAGATAGTATTTACTCTATATTTGTACTGACTTTATTTTGTAATGCCAATAATTGAAGAATTGAAAAAAACAACAACACAGAGCCCACATTGATACGGCTGAACTCATTTGCCAGGAAAAAAACCAAAACATCAGAAACCCTGCTGATTCAGGATAACCCGAGACTGTTTGAAACAAAGTATTCTGCTTTTACTCCTGCAGCTTCGAGGCAGCAGGATTTATAGAAGTATCTGTATGTGATTGTATGTGGAATAGTTCAGATTAATATTACTACAAAATGTGGTGTTCTTTGAGGGTATCCTTGTGCAATTCTACCTGCAGCTCTTTTCAGTGTGTTGTGCGCATGTGTGAGAGAGTTATTGTCAGCCGTGCTGTTGTGGTGTTACTTATTATGAGGCCAAACTTGATTGTTATTGGTATTTGTTAACATGATATTTGTCTATATAAATATCCAAACATTTTTATGTCATCATGAATATCAAGTTGATCTTGGTGTATAGCATAGAGGTTTGTGATGCATACTCCGATGTAAAAATCCAAACAATGAGATGCCCTCACATTTTTAAATATTTGTTTTGTTGCACAGATCCTGGTGCTTTTTCCAGAAGGTGGGGTTGTATTTAGGTTTCTTCCATTTGAGTTTTTTTATTCATTGATGCTCATTGGGATTCTACCAAGCTGGACACAGACTGCGTTACTTTATTCAACAACTGTGGATTTTGTGTCAAAATAAATGCTAACAAGTGCTACTAAATACACGTGTGTACTTTTGTAAACATTATACACATCTATAGTTGAATTGCCTGGTTTACACACAATAGTCTGCTTTGAAATACAGCATGTGCACAAATGTATTTAAGCAGGGAATGAGCTAAAAAAACACCCACTCATGAGTAGCTGTCACTGTGACTCAGAATGAATCACCAGGTATCTGAAAGCGTCTTCTTCTCAAGAGAAAACCACAAGAGAAATTAGTGTGAAATCTTTGTATCAGCAGTGAGAATCACAACATGCAATATGAGAAAATTGACGGCCTGTAGTTGTAATACATGCTTGTATAATAAAATCAACCACTGCCATATGCTTTGACAAGACCTGTCAGTTGGCATTGTTCCCCTCACTCAACTATGACAAACCTGATATGTTAATGTGTGCCAAGACTTTGTATTTTGAAGGAGATGGAAAGAAGAACCAGTAGTTCCTGTTGAAGGGATAAAACAATCCAGCAAATAGTGTAAAAACATGGATAGTATGGCAACATTGAAGTGTGAGTGTCAAATATTTTGCAGCCATTTGAGTCAAGAGATAGCTTACACTGCTGTCTCAGCACCATCTGGTGGTGTGAATTTGGATGATAAAAATACTTCACAGTGGATTGAAGGTTTTTTCATGTCTCCCTTGAAATTAAGTAAAATGTTTTATTTATTTTTTTTTTACCCTTCTTTTATTTTATTTTATTTTATTTTTATTTTTGGGCCATGTTATCCTTTATTAGTGACCATAGTGAGCTGACTGGAAATGAGACAGAGAGATGGGGATTTACTTGTAACAACATACAGAAACTACACTGAATGAAATTATAAACGCAACACTTTGTTTTTTGCTCCCATTCATCATGAGCTGAACTGAAAGATCTAAGACTTTCTCTATGTACACAAAACGCCTATTTCTCTCAAATACGGTTGACAAATCTATCAAAATCTGTGTTAGTGAGAACTTCTCCTTCGCCAAGATAATCCACCTCACAGGTGTGGCATATCAAGATGCCGATCAGACAGCATGGGTAATGCACAGATGTGCCTTAGGTGCACACCAGCCCAGAACCTCCAAATCCAGCATCTTCACCTCCAAAGATTATCTGAGACCAGCCACTGGTACAGCTGCTGCAATAATCGGTTTGCATAACCAGAGAACCGTCAGGAACTGTCTCAGGGAAGCTCATCTGCATGCTCGTCGTCCTCGTCGGGGTCTCAACCTGACTGCAACTTCGCACAGCCACTGAAGAGGAGTGGACCATGATTCCACAGGCCACAATGAACAACCTGATCAACTCTATGTGAAGGAGATGTGTTGCATTGCGTGAGGCAAATGGTGGTCACACCAGATACTGACTGGTTTCCGGACCTCCCCCAATACAGTGAACACACCTGTGCAGTACCCATGCTGTCTGGATTATCTCGGCAAAGGAGAAGTGCTCACTAACAGACAGATTTGTGAACAGTATTTGAGAGAAGTAGGCCTTTAGTGTACATAGAGAAAGTCTTAGATCTTTGAATTCAGCTCATGATGAATGGGGGCAAAAACAAAAGTGCTGCGTTTATAATTTTGTTCAGTGTAGATACAAACTAGGGATATGGCAAACCCTTAGGCCACTAAGATCACACATAAATTATTCACTGTCATATATAAAATCCACAAAGGTGTAGTATTGATTAAGGCCAACAGAGCACACAGGTCCAGTGTTGATGAGAAACTGCAGAAAAGCCCAGAATGATGGATTGAAGTAAATACTCAGTTTTCCATTCATTCAGCAGCCACCTGTCCTTGACACAATTTGATCTAAAGAAATTAGTAAAATCAACTACATAACATTTTTTTCATATAGCATATTCTAGATCTTACGGTAGACAGCTTTTTTCCCCTGCTGTGATTGGTCAGAGTGGACCAGCACCCACCCCCTCTACTGACCACTCCCCATCCGAGTTTTGCCCACGTGATTCTGCTCGGCTCGATCCTGCAAAGTTAAAAACAGACTTTGTTTATCTTCCAGGCTGTTTGTTTGAAATGCACTCCGACTAGTTCACTCTCGCCCCCCTTAAGCGTTTGTTATTGAACTCTTCCCAGCCGTAAACGCTGAGAAGAGCGCGAAACCTTTGCGCTTCACCCCCTTCACTCTGTAGCATTTCTGGCCTTTTTGTGATTCAATTTCATATTTTTTTGTGTGTTGTCTTCGGCTGACACCGTGTAGCACGAAAAAAAGAAGGCCAGGACTCCCGATTTTCTCTCTACATCACGTGCCACTTGTCAAAACACTTTTTTAAACTAAACAGCTTGTTGTGCCGACGTCTGGCTAGCAGTTTTGTGGGAATTTGTTGCAGCTTGCTCGACAGTACGAGTGCAGGATTTTTTTAAATCGAGCATTTGAGCGTCATGGCGACTGAAGTGGATACGTGGTCCAACGCTCCAGAAGCCGACGGTGAGTGGATGAATTCAGCTTTGCTTTATGTAGCCTAGGTCTGTGCAAAGTGTCAGGGAGCTACCGCCGGGCCTTCAGGCGTGCTCTCCTTGATCCATTGTCCAGGCATGGGATGGGCTGCAGCGCTAGTCATGCTCCACCATGTGCTCTGTTAAAACCAGACACACACACACACACACACACACACACACACACACACACCTAACGCTGGTGTAACAACCACTGCACACGGACGGAGCTTTGCACTAAAAATGCTGCAGTTATAACCGAACTCCATTTGCATTTGTTAAGCCTTATAGGAGCTTTCAAACGGTGTTTTTGTTGTTGCTGCTCTTGCATTTAACCCTTTCGCGTTTCTGATTGGACGAGGCCACAACGCTTACTTCCGCTTTGACAAGTCGTTGTTTGCACACACTCTTAATACATCCATGGCATACACACGCAAGCGCGGCTGCTGAGGGATTTTTTTCTTTCTTATACACATACCTTTTCTTTGCCTTTTTTTCCCGATGTTTACATGCATAAATAACACTGAGCACTTTTGGTTCCTGATTTTTTTTTTTTTTTTTTAGTTTTCTTGGACACATCAATACAGGATGTTCTGGTTCCTCAATCGCCAAGCTAATACTTGATTGTCAACACTTTGTGTGGCAGCCTGGGGTATCTTAACCGTTATTCAGAAGCAGTGCAGATACTGTTACACGCCCCTTTCCTGCATGAAATTATCTTTTGTGATAAGCAAATGCTTGCAAAACACAGCGGTTGTCTGTTTAATCGTTGAGAAATGCAAATTTGAACTATCAAAGATGTTCAACTTATGTCTCTATCATGCACGCGTCGTCAATGCGTAGCAGTGTTTTGAACGATTTTAATCATTGCACAGTGGCTTTTTTGATTGATACTTGAGCTTGTAGCCCAGCACATTGGGTTCCCTGCTTTCCTTTCTCAGCCTGGCGATGACGTCGACATGTATAGCCTGCTATAAGGGCCAATAGGAAAGCATTACACCATCTCTGCGTTGTTGTGTATTTAAAGGTTACATAAGTAGTAGAAATGTGCTGCTGGCACTGTAACCAGTCCAGGACAAAACTGAGATTGCGCATGTGTTGTAGGCATTTAACCGCAAACATTAACACCTTGATTTGTATTTGCCTGAAAACACACACAGATACACAGAGGTATATCAGTGCATGGGAGACACCACATGGTATTACTAGTGTTATGGTTGTGTGTGTGTGTGTGTATGTGTGCAAAAACAGCAGGTGACTCAGTGCACAGATGAGCTTTTCTACATGAACTTGACTGGCCTTTTTTTTGGTCAAGGAAGATCTAGCCATGCTTGATTGAGCAGCCTCTGTTGATGAGTTGGACACACACACGGTCAAAGACTCTATTGTCTGTGCTGGACAAAAAGGGGGAAACAAACTCCTGTGGGTCATTCAGGATGCTGAGTATGGATGCACAACAGTATGGGGACTATGTGAAACTTGCATGGTGTAGCACACAATTTTTATCCAACCTCCCTGTTACTGGGTCATAACCAGTTATTACATTTTATTATTAATTTATCAGCCAAATCACCTGAGCATAAAATGTCTTAAAATTGCTTGTCTGACTGGCAGGAAGGAAATAGAAGTGTACAAAGTAATCTCAACACAGGCCAGTTACCAGCTTATGAGCTCTCGCGCTGCATCTCAACTAGAAGATGGAATTTGCTGGCATGTCAGGTTTGTTTGTTTGTGCTGTTAATATTTACTTTTATTACATCTCCATGCACAACAAAACACCTGACAGGTAGGTACATGGTTCTGGCATACAGTAGCCTGTGCAAGTAGCGCCCATGTCTCCATGAGTATTTAAAGTTATGAAGTTTTGCCATGATGCAGCTTTGTCCATGGGACTATAATACTTTCTTTTGCCATTAGAAGAAAATTCCTGAAAAAATAACTCAACTTGTTGTTGTCTGATGTGTTTTAAAAAGGGAGGATGCATTTGTGGTATTTGGACAAAATGAGGAATTGGTTCTGAAAATGAGACGTGATTCATTTTATGTCAGTGGAATAAGTGACTTATCAATGAATGTTTCAGCACAAATGATCAGTTTGACGTGGGCAAGTTTATGGAGGAACACAGAGCAGGTCTGTGCTGCGGAAAACACGCTATAGGTGCCGAATGAAAGCCTGTGTAGAGCACCCACCTGTGAGAACTCCTTGGAGAAATACAACTGCCTTAAATGTCAAGCCAGATCTCTTCGTGGCCTGCTGAGTACACATTATGTTATGTTCTTGCCCTCTCTTCTTTTGTTACCCCCCCCCCCCCCCCCTCCCCGCACTCGCCCTACCCACATACATTCATAAAAACATGTTTGCAATACACACTCCATCCGTTTGCATTAGTTCATAAGTTTGGAAACTGAACCAACCACGCGTGCAAAGCAGTGCTTTACAGTGCATCAGTGGAGGTGATTATTAAAAACGAGAAAACACGTTATCAGACTCTTAACTGCTTATCTGAGTAGCTCTAATCTTTTGTATGCACTTTATCTGTGTTGTTGCTCTGCAGCTGTTACAAGAGGCGCAGTCATCAAAATTGCACAAGTCTCTAGTAAATGAAGTTGTTACATCTCCTCTCTCTGCATTAATAAAACAAGAGACATAATAGTGCTTCACACGTGGGCACCCTAGTACTTATTATTTGTGGAGCTTGTGTGGCCAGTTCCTCAGCTTTCGTTTTTACTGTTGTATATTTAAACACAAGTCACCATATGCACATGAAGTTTAGGCGATGTGTCTGAGGCGTGCTTTTAAGTCAAATTCCGCATGAGTCTCCTTTCATGAAGTGACCGTTAAACCTCTGGGACATCCACACCCTCTTCTCCTCTGAAAGATAATCGCCACAGGAGGTGGTAAGGCTTTTTTTTCTTTTTGTCCCCCTATATCATTGTGCAGATGCTTGTTTGAGCCTAGAGGACATCACACATGTTTTTGCTCATGTTTTGAATGCATGGGTTGACAGAGAAATCTTTTTAGCAGATTTGACCCAGTCAACCTTTTTATTTAATTCGCATATTAAAGTGAGAGGAATGAAGTATATAAAGGCATCACAAGCAAATATTGAAACTACATAAAGCTGTTCTTTAATGTACTGCGTCTGTCCCAGTCCTTGCGTGCAAACAGACAAATCTGTTGGTCTGTGCTGCCTTCTTGCTATAAACAGTTGACACCAAATGTCATTAAATGTTAACATAGTACGTAAGTTACTGGCAGTAAGTATTTCCTAAGATGCACAGGGATTTTTTTCAATATTTCACATGATGTGTTGCTTTCTTTAAAGCCACACCACATGTTTTGAATAAGAATTTCTTTAGTTTTTTTGTTTTATTTCACACAAAACATTACCTAGCTTAATATGGGTCAAACGACATCTACTCTGTGGACACAGTTGTGATGTCGCATGTGCAAAGGGGTGTTTACCTGAGGTGAGTGTGTCAGAGTATGGGGAGAAGAGAATTCCGAGGCAAAAACCATAATAAGAATATTCGTGGTCATTAAAACCTGCTTTCACAGGGTGGTATAATGTGAAAATTTGAGATTATTTTTTGCTGGGGGGTGCGGGGTTTTACAATCACGATGCCAGCTCAGCGTGGCGATGTCTGTCAGCCATCGCCAGTGGATGATGGCATTGTCTATCGGCCCAACCCTACTGCACTTACATCATTTTGCACTTGCCAGCGAAGTACAAATAAGTGTTTTTGAGTGGGGGGTGCTATCAAAATGTTGCAGCATTTGACATATTCTCCCAAAGGTGAACCCTAACTCTAATACTGCATAGCTACAGTTGCATGTACATTTACAGTCATGGAAATGTAGGTCTGTCCCTTGGGAGGAATGTGAGAACTCTTCTCCGCTGACCACCTTCTCAGTCATAAACACTGCTACTGTGTGGATACCTGAAACTAAACGTTGCTCCTCAGGCTTGCTGGCTGTGGAAAGCTCCCCCACAGCGTGCAGGGCAGGGGGCCATTGTTGGCCTGCATCTGGCTGTGTGTTTTTAACTGTGGGGGCGGTTTTGAAAACCATCATGGCAGTGTTTGTTCATATTGTTGTGCTCCGGTAGGCGTGCAGGGTTAAAGCTAGCAGGGGGAGTTTGTTGCTGCAGCTTTTTTGTGCAGGGCTCTGACAGTGACACACATACCTACCTTTTGTAGAGTAAACCTTAAAACTTCTTTAGTAGTTGCAGACAGGCCCTGCATTACAGAGATGCACAATCTCTGTCGTGTTGAAAAAGGCTTGGCTGCAATTTTTGTTTAGCTTGTTTTGAAAGTCTTGTCTTGGCAAACGGCTCTTACTTTCTCTGCCTTCCCATTTTTTCCCCTGCTCTATTCCAGTTGGCCTTTCGTGTATTTGGCACACCACCATTGGTTAGTTCCTAATTTACTGCGTTGGCGCAGGTCCTATGGCCTACATGTGGGAAGGAAGAGGAGGAGCAGGAGAAGATGACACATGGTCATCTGTTTACAGATTTCTAAGCCCAAGGGTGTGGTGCTGCTTTTAACGCAACAGGTTAATTCAGGGAGGTATCTTCCTCTTCTCAAAGGTGCTTCCTTTTCATTTATTATTTACCCATCTGAGCTGACTAATCTCTACAAAAATCAAACTTTTTAGAGCTCTTGAATACCTTGTTGTTAAAGTAGGCTGCATGTTTTCCCTGCACCAGAAGTATAATTGCTGTAGTTGGCTACTTTTGCAGCATGCAGGCTGCTGCTGTTATGACTTGGACATTTCCCCCTCCCCCTCTCTGTGTTTTCTACATGTCCTGTAATCTAGAGTGCCTTAACTCCTCAAACTGCCATTTGGGGCCATGCATAACGACATTTAAGTATTCATTACCCCCACAGACATTCCTCCTCCTCCTGCTTTCCTTCTCCCCTACAGCCCTGTCATGTGACCAGTCATGTCCCCAACCATGCCATATGTAGTCAGGTTCACTCCAGCAGCTGCGGACAGATCGCGAGAGGATGAAGAAAAATCGGGTGTCAGCATTTCTCCAGCATGTGTTCCCCTTTGTGCCCACCCTCGCCTGCAGGAGCACTCCAGTCCCACTTGTTGTTGTCTCCCTCCAAACATAGAAGACACAACCTTGCCAGAGTATTTTTATTTTTATTTTTTTATAAATACGGCAGTTTCTTTACACCCACAGGAGAGTAGTATATTAAGTTGCTTGACACTTTGACCCACCTTATGCATGCTGATAGAGCTGGTGAGTGTCATAAGAATCTATGTGTGAATTTGTGCTGCCATCTTCTCATGTTATGTTGTGGGTGTTATGTGACCTTTGGCTTGTGCCACGTATGGAGGTGGCTGTCGCACACGCAGTTAGAAATCATTGTTTTCACACTCCCCTGAGCCGGTGTTGCTGTAGTGTAAAGGTGTTCATGCAGTTTGCTGACCACACCCGAGATAATCTGCAGTGCTTTGCAGTGCAGATGAATCTTAAGACGACCAATATCGGCAGGTTAAACTACGTAGTGTCTCTCACGTTAGTCAAATCCTGGAGTCCCATTTCCTCATGTACAGTAATAATATGCAGAACATTTTCATGTGTTTTCACTGACCAACGAATTAATCCGTGGCAGAAACTTACAATATGAACCTTGTTTAGTTTGCAGCCTCAGTTTATGTTCATAGCTGCGCCAGTAAGTTTATTTATTTTATTTTTTTACTGCAGTTGTAAAAGTGCCGTTTCTCTGAAATCAGCTATTCATTAGTAGTTGTAGTAATATTAGTTTGGATACAGAAATGAGCTTATCTCTGTTAGAGATTCACATATTATGACTAGCCAGTCATGTTCTTCTACACCAGAAACATTTCTGTGTGCAGCTCTCATTGTGCATGGTGGAATTGTCATGTTGAAGGAGGAAAGCTGTTATGTCCACTTACTCTTGTACCATACAGTTTACTTGTACTCTCCAGTGACTCGCACAGGATTTTACAAAAATCCTTTGACAAAAAGCAATATTTGTTGTTGTCTTATTGTGGCAAAACTGTATCATTAATGGCCATCAACTGTTCTGATTTCTGACCACAGGGATGTTCTCTTTTGACCACAACCTGGCAGAGGCTAACCATCCGTACAGCGGTGACGAAGACGTGCTGAATGAAGCGGAGGTGAACGGTAACTGGACACCTCAGGAGAAGGCACTCCACGAGGCCCGGCTCAAAGCCAAAGCCAAGCGTCGCCTGCGCAAGTCCTCATCTCGCAACTCCACCAGCGAGTCCTTCTCTGAGTCAGGAGATATGGCAGGAACTGACCCAAACAGTCCAAAGGGCAAAGTCAACACCAATGACCGCAAATCCAGGACGGGAAAAGGCAGAGGCCTGCCAAAAAAAGGTAAACTGCTACGCTGGTGTGTGCTAGAAGCTGCCACAAAACGTTTTACGTAAACAGAGAAGGGGAGCAGCCACAGGCACTATGCCTGGCTGCTGCTTTGAGGCAGAGAGGAACATTTTCTCTTGCCCGAGAAAGTTCAGCTTTGTACCGGAGCACTTGGTTTAGACATGGTATTCCTCTTTTCTTGATGACCAGTTAACAATGAACATACAGGGTTTCGATGTAAATAAACAGCTGACGGATCACCTCAACTGGCAGATTGCACTGGTAGACACATTCGTTGTTGAACTGTTAGTTTGTCTGGAAATGTGCTGCATGCAGTGCTTTTCATTAACGGCACAAAATGTGTTTTGTGGTGGTAGCTTTTGCACATAATTGTACACCTTTTATGGTTTGTCTGTTGGTTGTGTGCAGGTGGGGCAGGTGGCAAAGGAGTTTGGGGAGCTGCTGGGATGGTTTATGAAGATGAGGAGCCTGATGTTCGGGACCCCAACTATGATGAATCTGCTCAGGTGAGTGAGTACAGCTGACTTTAGTGGTCGACTGATATGAGTTTTTTTTAATGGACGATAGAGATAACAGGGCAGCCTATGGCCGATATATAATGCCAATATCAAAAGTCATGTATAATTCTATTATTCCATGCAGAGTACGGTCTCGTACACATGGTTATCTTAGCCAGTAATGTTCTTTTAGATGGAATTTATATTAATAGAAAAATACATTGGATTATGCAGGCCTCGTGAGGGCTCAAAATGCCAGCTTTTGGCCTATCACTAACAGACTTGTCTCTGGATGTTGAACTGTTCATTGATTTAATATGCATATTTATCTGAAAAAGGTAGACAGATTGCAATAGCAAAGTGACAGGAAAAGGAAAGACTGGAAGAAAGACTGGGGTCCACCTTGATGCCCCGGTTTGTGTTTTAGTCGTACAAAATTTACATTGAACATGATAACTATGCTGAGTGAGCAAATTTAATACTGATGTACTTGTTTTTTTTATCAATTAAAGATACACTACACTATAATTTAAAACATCTAGTTGCAAGAAACCATATGCCACATGTTTCCAGCCCACAGTTAAAAGCCCAAATTTGACTTAAAAATACTTAAAGTTGGGGAAGGCAATGTTGGAGAGAGCAAGAGACAGTGAGATTTTGTAAGTATCCAACTAAAGAAAATCCCACCCCTTCCCTTCAGGCATCCACCCAAATGACTGCACGGACAGAGTGCGTGCAGGTAGGTAGGTAGACAGGTAGGCCAGCTGAATTAAATAATTGGCCGTACTTATTATAGTCATGCGACGGCCAGAGCATTTGATTTATTGATTGCTGTCGTCGTGTAAAGAGAATTTCAACAAATATAACAATGCTGCAATAAATTGACTTCCCCAGCTTGAAAGATGAACAGTTTGTCAAAATAGTTGCTGTTGATTGATTAACAGGTGATAAATTTTCTGTCGACCTGCTAATCGATTCATCATTTGAACTCTAAAGGGATGTTTTCTCTCTGTTTTTTTTTTTTTTTTTTTTTTTTTTTTTTTACACTGTGGAAGTTGATCCTTTTTTATTTTCTAAACGTCTGCATTACCTGAGCATCAGCAGTCTGTACACACATGCTCTGAACTGTTTTTGCCACTGATGAAAGAACGTCACCAGCAGAGGTTAGTTTATCACAGTTGTTGTTGGTCTGACCTGTTGTGTGGAGCAGCTCTTTGTTCCAAAGAGGCCCACTGATCAAAGCTGTGCGTACAGGATGACGCCTTTTTTTTTTATTTATTTTTTTTATTTCTTGTGTCAAGCAAACGTGCTGATGTTGAAGGGCTGCTGCTGAAAAACACTGAATATAAAAGAGGCTTTGCTCTGTGAACAAGATAATGATTGTCCACGCTCAGACAACAAGCATATGCACTCTTGCATCACTAATGAATTGCACAATGTGTCTCTTGTGATGAATTGTTATAGCTTGGATGGCAAATGATCAAAGAAAATTTTTTTGTAACTTATACTGGGGTCATTAATCTATTGGGAAATGCTAGTCTGTTTTTATATCAGAAAGTCCACTTGATTTGGCCAAAACTCATTTTAAAACACTCGCATGATCTTTTCATCCAGATGGCCCTGTCACATCACAATCAAAAGAATTTTCGAACTTTGACCCCCGTTATCAAGCAAATGCTCTGCACGATGAGATGGCCAAGTTTGTTTGTCTCCTGCTGTGGTCACGCTGACTGAATGCAGAGTGGGAAATGGAGCAGCTGTCGTGAGAAGTTTAACGATTTAAGAGTGGCTCAGAAAAGCCAGTGTGATTTGGCCTTGAAAGTTGTAGGAGCGTATTGGAAAGATGTTGGTTTGTTTAGAGGGGACTGGAAAGCGCTGTACAGGAAAATCCACAGGGCATGTGCAGACAGTGCCCTTTGAATCAGACTGATTGTAAAACTGATTTCAAGAGCCCTGTAAAGGCAACTATAACATGCTTGAGAATGCCCCCTTTGATCAGTCATTGGTCAAGACAAGTATCAGTGGCCTTCATGTTGAGACAAAAATAAAGAAGCTTCTGCAGAAAATACATGTTCCTTCTTTTGCTTATACTTGGCCATAAATGATTGTTTTGGTTCCCTCCTACCTTCTGCAGTCAACAGTCTCTTCATGCAACATGAGCAGGAAACAGGAAAGTGAATCACTGTTTTGGACTTTTGGCTACAATCCTTCTTTATCCTGTTGTATACTTGGGCTTCAGAAAAGGTCAAGATGATTGAGTAATTATTTGTTCCATTTATATGGAAGCCAGTTTTTCTCTTAAAAAAGCCAGTAAAAGTTTATAGTTTGTAGGTTTATAGGTTAATAATATATTCACTCTGTGCGAAGATTATTGTTGTATCGGCATCTGCTGTTCTCAAACAAACAAAACCTCACCTGAAAAGTTAGTTGGACCGGTTTTGACCGGCATCTTGGCATTAACTGATGCAAGCGTTGAAACAAAGCACACGGACAAATAACGTGAATCTTCAAGTACTTATTATGCCACATTATAACTTTTCATACCTGTATTGCACATGACTTTAAAGAGGTCATATTATGCTTTTTTGCTTTTTCCCTTGTGAGTTTATATCTTTTTTTAATTTAATTTAATTTTATTTTATTTTTGCATGTTTGCAAAGTGAAAAAGCCAAGTCAAGCCCAAAGGGAGTTCTCAACTTCCACAGAAAACACTGCTCTGAACAGCCTGAAAACAGTTCCATTGTAGTCCAGCCTTTTCTTCCGCTTTCTTGAGACGTCACAAGAAAAACAGGCGTCATATGCTGGCCTAGCGGCTAGTCAGACACGCCCTCAAAAACACCAGTGGAAAAACACACTGAGCAGTGACAAGATGTCCGCATGCTGCCTCTCCTCTCCCTTCCAAACACTAGCTACCCTCAGTGGACATTACATTCATTTCAGCTGACTTACTATTGCCATATATGTCAGAGGTCGCATACCTCTGGAGCAATGAGGGGTTAACTGTGCATTCAGGCCAAACACAAATTTAACATTAAACATTTTGCTGTGATTAAATAGCAATAAACAGATCAAACTGATGCCGAAGTAACTACAATATGATGCAGATTTGTTAAATATATGAATTCATGCTTTGTCAGGTCTGTCAGCAAGACAGCAGGACTTCTAAACTTCTAAAATGTTTGTTTTTCTGAATGGAGTTCGGATCGATCAGGGCTATGCTAACTTGGTCACAGTAAAGTACAACAATAGCTGGAATAAAGTTACATACACGTTTTCCGAACTGACCAGGTAGTTCAACCTCCTCGCTTTCTTATCTCCCGGCATTGTCCAGTTTTGTCCCGTTTTTATATAAATATGAAGTGGTGCCAAACAACGCTAACAACAACAACAACACTGGAACTGGATGTGCACGGAATCTAGCTGCTGAGAAGCTCGAGTGAAGATAAATCAACGTTGTAATCCTAAAAACTACAGTAAAAAGCTAATAAAAGCAGTTTACTCCGAGCTCCTCCCGCATAATCCAGTCCGACCACGGGCAGCTCTCACCCGGCCTGCAGATTTTCAATCGCCCGCTCTGCCTTGCCCTCTCCACACAACGCTCCAAGCTGTTGGTGACGTACCGACAATCTCAACACAGATAGTCTATCGCGACTCGGCGTCATGCAAATTTCTCGCTTGAGATGAAAATATTCAACAATACCTTTGTGTTGCCTTCGCTTCGCCAACAAATTGCTGGCACCACCCCCTTTGCCTCGCTTCACGCCACCAAACAGGAAATCGCGGCTCTACGCGTCTTTACATTGACTTTGTATGTACACTCACCGCCCCAAACGCTAGCTTCGCTTTTGGTCTGAAAGCACCATAAGGGTCTTGCTCAGGGACACATTGGTCGTAGTGGGATTCGAACCCCGCTCTCCCACATAAAGTTGTTACTGTGATGTAGAGACAGTACACTGTTATAACTTTATGGATGAAAGATACATTTGTTACAGATTAATAACTCACCACTCTGAAACTCTTGCTCCAGTCCATGTTGCTAAACTGGTAAGGGGAACATATAGGCTACAGGTGAAGCGAAGCAGTGTTTACCGGCTTTTCAGGACCCGCCCTGCTCTGCTTCTGATTGGCTAGTAGTCCTTAACTAGGAACTGCGCATGTGCAAATCCCAACAAAGACCTTGTAGAAGCATGCATCACTCCATAGCTAAAACAAAGTGTTCAACACACCGGGTGAAAAAAGGAGCTGCAGCAATGTGCAGTATGACAAAAAAATCTATATTGATCATTGAAACAGGTCATAGTGCTTAAATTTCAATGTACAGTGCTGAGATAAAGATGTGAAATGTTAGAAACTGGATGTAGTTTGGATATAGCAAAACCCCACTTGATTATGTGTTTGTTCTTGCATAGGGGGACACAGTTTATGCAACAGTTGTGCCCGAGGTAGATGAGAAGGAACTGGAAAAAATGGTCAACCCAATTGTACAGGAGTACTTTGAACATGGAGACACAAAAGAGGTCCAGGTAAATGATTTCAAACAAAGTGTTTCATTTTCTCTTGACTCAATGCTTGCCCACCAGGAATTAGTATGTTTAGAGAATAAATCCATGGATGGATGAACCAAGTGATGGAGCGCTTGTATGCACATATCGTTAGATCAGTAGCAGTACTGGTTAGAGACATCATTCTGTAAACTCCATATATTATACAGTTAACAATGCACACTGATTTAGGATTTTATTCTTTGTCCTCCCTCCCATTAGATGTTGCTGAAGGGACTCAACTTGGGCCCACACAAGTATGAGTTCTCCTCCCTGGCTGTGTCCCTGTCTCTTGAAGGTAAGGCCAGTCACAGAGAGCTGACCTCCCGCCTGCTGTCTGATCTGTCGGGCAAGCTGCTGTCACAAAGTGACATGGCCCGCGCCTTCGACAAGATCCTCAAAGAGCTGCCAGACCTTATTCTGGACACACCCGAGGCTCCTCAGGTAGACCTTTTTATATGCAGAGGGGAGAATATCAGTCAGGGGCACAGATTTTCGTTTGAGACTTTGTGTTGTGTGCAAATTAGAGGGTGGAGACGCACTACTAACACACTAAAAGATAAGAAATGACACAACATGCATTAATTTTTTTTTTTGTGCACACAAACTTCATGAGGTACTGACTGGTATTACACACAACACTCGTGCCACCAAATCAGACATTAGGCTGTGTTTTCGGTACTTGTCTTTACACCCATTTTTATACCTTACACAAATCAAGATTGTGTGTTCATAGTTGTGATGTTCATCAAGAGCCAAAATATCACTTGCATATTAATAACAATCTTTGTCGAGTGTCTGTTGTAACTGTCACAAAGTTTAATGGACCTAATAGCTTGAATTTAAAGGAGCAGCTGTGTCAAATTGATTCTGTAATTGTTCAAAGAAAATATGGCCCTTTAGTTGCGGGGATCAGACTTCAATGCTTGATTCAGGAAAAAATGCTCGTCACGTTGTTGTTGTTGTTGTTGTTGTTATTTACTGAAACTATGATTACACTTGTAATAAATTACGTCTGATGTCTCTTAGATGTTAGGCCAGTTTATAGCCAGAGCCATAGCGGACCACATCCTCCCCATGTCTTTCCTGGACTGCTACAAGGGCAAAGTGGACTGTGAGCATGCCAGGTGAGCCAAGACAAGCAAAGTTAAAATGCAGAAACAGTAACTTCTTCAAAGAATCGACCTTAAATGCAACAGCTGCAAGATTTCTCAAGCCCCTTTAGGGTTCTTTTTAAGGTGAATTTGTCAAGTTACATTTACGATAACATAAACAGAAAGTTGATTACAGATGCAACCGAAACGCTCTTTGTTTTTCCTCCTTGGAAGTGTTGCAAAAAGATTCTAATTTTGTTTTTTTAAGAGGAACAGTCATCCTCTCCTGTAGTACAGTGTGTTTATCAGATAATGTTTAAATAGAGTAAAACATCTGTTATGATGTCATCTTTGTCATTTTGCACTTCCATGCTCACTCTAGCCAAACCAGGCTTAATGCGCATGCTGTATGCACATTTCTGTGCAAAAACAATCATATTTTGGTTTTTGTTTTGTTTTTCTAGAGTGGCTTTAGATCGTGCCGCGGTGCTGCTGACCATGAAGAGGGAGATGGTTCGTCTAGATAATGTGTGGGGTGTGGGTGGAGGCCTGAGACCTGTCAAACTTCTCGTCAAAGAGGTAAGCTCAGGCCAAACAGGGAGGATACTGCACATTTGAAAACCTAACTGACAAGTCACTTGCTGGTTTTCATATGCAAAATAATTCAGTAAATAATCCCAAACACCTGAATTCAGATTGTTTACTATTTCCAAGCTCTTTGACATTATGCAACATAAACAGAAGGCAGAAATGCATGTTGGGTACAGAGCCACAGGCCAGCCCTCTGCTGTGTAGCTGTGTCAGCAGAGCACTTTCCTCCCTTGAGAAGTGGGAATTGCAAAAATGCAGGAGGGGCTAACTCAGATACACACCCTTGCCTTTAACAGAAGTACAGACTCCACGCGCGCATGCTGTTCATGGACGCACCTGCACCCCACATGCTCTCTGTCTTTGTATTAAATTATTGTTTCATGATCTGGATTTTCTGCAATTTTTCATGCTAATGTGGGCGTGGATAGTGTGAGAGTTTGAAGTGCACATCTTGTAAATTGGAAGTTATGCAACATTTCAGGGGATTTTGTGGCCATCTAGAAATGGGGAGAGTGCTCGGTCAGTGTGTTCTCAGTCATACAGTATTGTGTAAGCCTCAGTAGCCCTCAGACCTTCGGGCTCCCCTGTCCAGTTTTGATTTCCTGCCTGGCTGTGTGCAGCCTCAGGGGGAACGTGCTGGGCTGCAGGAGGCACAAGGCTTCTTTTCACTTGCTGCTCTCATACTCTGTCTTGTTCACTCAGTTGTTGCGCTCTTACTTGCAGCCTCTTCTAATCTTTTTAATTTCTCAGTCCTCTCCTCTGTCACTGTGCTGCCTGTCCACATTACATTTCGTCCCATTGTGTTTTTTCCAGCTGAGATGACCACACTTTCCCCCCAGCTCAGCCCATTAGGCCCAAAATTAACTCACAAGGTTGAGCTTTGAGGGTTTTGAACTTGTTGCATCAATAAAGCTTCTCTGAAATCTCAAGTGGTATGACTAATTGTTCCATAAATAAATGTTAAGCAAAGTGGTTGGTGCATGCGAAACTTAGCAGTGAGCCTGTTGTAACTAATAAGCAATACTGACAAATGAAGCGGAGACTGAAAGATTCACACACAGATCCAAACTGGAAGAAAGGTTGTTTTTCTTACTGGTTCGTCAGGTATATCAGACATGTGTGTCAAGTTTCATTTCCCGTAGAAGTCAGGTTATTGCTGGAGTAAATCTCTATCTATAGTGGCTTGATGAAATACTTTTTAGAGACGGGTATTGTCAGGGATTATTGAGCTCTCTGTTCAGCTCTGTCTGTGTTCAGTCAAACAAACCTATTATTGAGGTTTTACAGTCACTGTAAATTTGCAATATCCAAGGTGTGTTGGAGCAAATAAAATAAATAAAATTATCTTACTTAAACATGGACAATTAAGCATCATTTACATTTCCACAATATTCTGTCAATAGTCATACCATAATCGTCACTGTCACTCTGATTTTGTCTATTTAATCGCAAGACAAAGATTTAATGTCTGTCTGTCTGTCCATCCTGTAGTGTTCTCACACAAAACCGTATATAAAGAAATTGCATTTGAGTGCAGAACCGTGAGTATTTACAGGTCATACTCCATTCCAGCTGTATTTGATGCCGATTCCGCACAGAAAGCTCAACAACTACGACAAAAGCTAATGTTGAATTGTGTGTCTCCTTGTTCCAGATGAACCTCCTGCTTAAGGAGTTCCTGGTATCAGGAGACGTGACGGAGGCAGAGCGCTGTCTGCGGGACCTGGAAGTCCCACACTTCCACCATGAGCTGGTCTATGAGGTAATTAAAGACTTTATGTCAGCCTTCGTTTAGTTTGGCTTTATTCTCTCAGAAAACAGCCTACACATAACACACTTTCCTGCACATTCACAGAGAAAACAAACAAAAGCACGTAGATTCAAATCAATGTAAAACACTGACATGCAGAAACAAAATGTGAAACATAAAACAAACTGTAACAGCATATAAAACACAGGGTTATTCATAAAAGTGAAGCATGACCCAGTATCTCAAGTATAAATCATTTGCAGAGATAATGTTCAACATTTAATCAGAACTTTGTCATATTCCTTCATGTTCTCCCCACATTATGACAAAAAGGTGCTGGTTAAAACACAGTGAACCTTTTTGTTTTTTTCTTCCCAATTTTATTTTATCTCCCTGGTGCCTAGTCAAGTGAACTGCAGAGGAAAACTGGTCATTTCTGTTTTCTGCCAAGGACAGTGTGTGTCTGGCAGAGATGTTCTCTCATTTGCACTACATGTATTAACAGCTCAGTCCATTTTGGATTGAGTTGCATAAAAATGAACTCTCTATCCTCCATAAAAATGTAACTCATCAGTGATTAATAGGCACAGGGTGTTTGTGATGGTTCTTATTTAAGTAAAGAACATTAAATGTACCTCTGTGTTGTCTCTTTTTTGTAAATAAAAACTAGTTATGATCAATCGTTCACAAATGTGCGATTGGGTTGTTCTTTTCTTTGGCTTCGGTTGTGTACACAGTGTACAATTACGTAGCCTGCTGCTGTTTGTTCTACATGTGCAGCACATTCTCAAAGTATTCACCCAGCTCAGCCTTGTCTGCCATTTGTCTTGTCAGATTTTTGTCATCTACAAATAACCACAAATTCAAATAAGAAACTTTTTTTATAATCTGCAAGTGTTCTGCATCTGCACCTTCTTCTCTTATGTATAAAACAGAAATGGTAAACACTGTCACCATGTGGTGAAATATGCAGCTTATACATGTCTGAAAAGATTGTTTTTGATAATCACTTATTGATTCTGCTGATCTTTCACTTTTTTACTTTTACTTGGATGATAGACATTAGATGATAGTAGCACACTTATCTTTCTTGCACATATTACATGTTATATTATTTTTCAGGCTATAGTGATGGTGCTGGAGTCAACAGGAGACACAGCCAGTCATATGATGATTAAGCTGCTGCAGTCCTTCTGGAAAACGGGCCTCATCACTGTGGATCAGATGAACAGGGTCAGTGCCTTTTTTTTAATGTGCTAGTTTTTAGCCAAGATCTTTCTCTGTGGAAAATCATGATTTTAACAAAAGCTGCATTTTATACAAAAATACGCTGTTTTCCATGTAGGGTTTCCAGCGTGTTTATGATGAGCTCCCTGAAATCAACCTTGATGTTCCGCATGCCCACTCTATCATGGAGACCTTTGTGGACCTCTGCTACCAGGAGTCTGTCATCACCAAACAACTGAGGGATGCCTGTCCCTCCAGGTTAGTTGGCCAGTAATTAGCAATTCAACTAATTTTAAAATGTTCTTCATATTAACAGCAAATCCCATGAAAAGACCGAAACCAACGATGTGTGTCAAGTGTCTCTCTCACTACTTTCTGACTTCCCTAACATGTCTGTGGCTCTCGGCCACAAGCCCACTTGTTCCTGCTTAAGATTTAAATCTTTAAAAAGGCATCACAAATATATAGTTTTTAATAAAGGTAGCAAGCATTACTTAAATCTGAGTAAACCGTGAATTTTGGGGACTATTTTCAGCTTCAGGGCACTAGCAAGTATTAACTGCAATAGGACTGTCTTATGTGGTATTGACTTAAAATAAATTACAGCGCCTGTGTTTGTTGTAATGAAGGATAATGTCACCCAGTGCAATGGTGTGGCTTACTGATGTGTTATCAATACAACGGTGGATCTCAATGGCACAGAAAAAATAAGCAATATCAGGCTTTGAGTACACAGATAATACTTTTTATTTGGAAAAATTTGTGTTTGGTTTTTATTATTTTCACAGGATTTGTTGAGAATAAGAAAAAAATTTAAATATAACCAGCTGTAACCTTTTTTTTAACATTGTAAGGTGCAACATGTCTCTCAAACTCTACTTCCTCCACCAGAGGGCGGAAGCGTTTTGTAAGCGAAGGAGATGGAGGAGTGATCAAGAACTGATCTACAAGAAGAAGAGGAAGAGCAGCAGCGGCAGGAGAAGGGGTGTCTACAGGTTCTCACACCTGGTTTCCGCTGCAGCATGTTTTCCCTGAAACCTGAGAATGCTGGCAGTCTAAAGTTTGCTTGTTCCTCTTCTTATAATGTTGTCATTACACAAACCAGCGTTGACGTTCGGTGAAAGTAGACTGAAAAGTGGCCTGGGCGTTCAGTTCCCTTCATCTTGTTAATCACTGTTTTTGACTCTTTTTTTTTTTTTTTTTTTTGTAACAATATTGTTTATTTCTGTGGTTAATGCGCCCATCTTGCCTCAGTCTCTGTACCTGTTCCTAATAATAATGATAATAAAAGTCAGAGCGGCAGATAGACATGGGGGACAGGCTGGGGAGTGGTGGAGATGAATTAGTTTGGTTTTGTTTCTTGCTTTGCTTCACCTGTTGCCATTTGTGTATTTTTTTTCTTTCCTGTAATGTGCTATAAATGAAAAAAAGCACTTAAAAGACAGAGCATAATGTACAGTCAGTGAACACTTTGTAATTTAGCTCAACAAAGATTTAAAAAAAAATTCCCTGCCACAAATTATTTTAAGGACAACATGATTTGTACCTTCTGGTTCAAGTTGATCTATGATTTTTATGAACAGGTGTTCATTTTGTTTTTTTGCATCTCGGTCTCTTAGGCCAAATGTTCACTAGTTAATGCACAGCAGGCAAAGCAAAAAGTGTTGGGCACTGGTTGGGAGTTTATTTGAAACTAGCATTAGGGCAAATATACTTCGAAAGCCCTTTTTGAAAAATAAGAATAAATTGGGGTTAATGTTTCTTAAAAAAAAAAATTAAATAAACAGCAATATTTTGAGCACTCTTCACTTTTCTTACAATGAATCAATCTGCAGCTCACATGGTCAGCAGTGGATTCTGGACAGGCAATCTTACAATATGATGCCACACCTTCTATACAGAGCAGGATTAATCTAGAAATTGTCTTTAAATTCTGAATCTGTTTGTGTCTGTGAAATGGCAACCCCAGCTTTTTTTTGTTTGTTTTAGAAGATATGTTAATCATATTCAGATTGACTGCCGCTGTCTGTAACTGTTTCACATGTTGACCAAAGTTTTAAAGATGTGGCTAAGAAATATATTTCATTCATTAAAAAGCAACAAAATGGAGTTTTTGTATTTATTTATTTTTGTTCATGCCAGCAGTGACCAGGATACATCCATCACATTTGTTGATCAGTCATCAGTTGTGATCCTTAATGTAATTTTCAACCTTGTGTTTCATCTATACCTTCTCTTGTCAGTTTGTCTCATTTCCACTCTTTCTCTATGACCAACGGTCAGAGCAGGTGTACAATTGTGAACTTAAACCTGTAATTGAGAAGCAGTTTGAGGCCAAAGGTTGAGATTTTTTATTTTTTTTCCCTCCCCCAAGGCTCTGGCTCATGAGCCCATTTACAATACATCAAATATGTCTGGCTATGTGTCTTCATAGCACAGCTTTATTATGCCTACAGTGTAAATAAGTTGTTGAGGGAAACTATGTTAAATGGCTCTTACTTGGAAATTGATGGTGTAATTCACAGGACATTCATGCATGCAGCTGTCCACTGTGGAATAGAGGTTATATTGTCATAACAATGTTTTGTATTCCTACAGTCATGTTTGTACTGTTCACAACACACTCCCGTACACAAGAAGTTAACATTATATATTTCAATAAAATTGCATATTTCCCCTCTACGATGACACATATGCTTTTTATTTTTTATTTAAATTCATGTCATTAGTATATGTGTGCCGTTTAGTAGTATGATGAGCGAGGTAAACGATGACGTCACAGATACACTAGGGAGCGGAGTACACGTCAGTACAAACGAGTAGTAACAAGGAAGTGGCTAGTAAGCTAGCAACGGATAATGAGCAGCTGAGACCCTGGTATTTTGACAGGTCGGTAACCATTTGCTCAATGAATATTAAGCTCTAAGTTCTAACTGACTCCGTATTTTATAAGCTGCCGATCAATAAAAGCCATATTTTATCGCGGCTGCCGGTCATGTTTCGCTTAAACTGACGTTAGCATTACGATACTACTAGCGAGTAGCGTGCTGTCTGCAGGCAGCGCGTACGGGCGAGTCTCCAGCTGAATGTCTTGTGGGTTGAAACCATAACGTTAGGTTAAAACATGTGTCGGTGGTCACTTGCTGAATTAGAGACACTTTGTGTAGAAGCCGAGTTTAATTTATAAAGCGGTCGGCGCCGTAAAACGACTTTCCTGCCATCATACAACCTGGAAGCTAACGTTAACTTAGACCGCCTTTTTTAGCCTGAGATGACGTGAAGTAATCGTTACGTTACAGAAGGCTCCTAAGGACAATTTCTGTCTGAGATGTTAACTTACTGTAATTATGGCCAGATTCTCTACTGTGTATATACTCTAGTAATAATAGTATTGGCTGCTGCTTTGGTTAATGGAGAAATAAACTCCTTTGTGAGTGTAACGTTATATACACAATGTTAGCTAAAACTAACGTTAATGCTTTTTAATAATAAAGCAGTGCTGCAAGAAATCCTACCATAATGAAAGTTATAATGTTCAGATTTTGCTGAAACTGTTTTGGAGAGGCGTTGATTCCATCCCATGGTCATTTTGCAGTCTGTAGTTTGTGTTGTGGTTCCACTGGGAGGTGTTTCTTATATTTTGTCCACTCCATTTATGTCATTTATGATGGACTAAATATTCAGATATATTCTCAGTAAATTGCAATACAGTTGAACTGCAACACGCAGACACACAGACTGACTCCAAAATAACCGTTAAGGTGAGTCAACACCTTTCAACAAAAACTACATGCACTAGTTTGGCCTAATAAATTGGCAGCTACATGTACATTTCAACTGAGTAGTGTATGCAAGACAACCAATAAGCAAGTGACAAGTTTTCATACAAATGATTGCAAGAATCTTAACAAAACATCAGTTAATAAAGCTTTAAAATTTCTATGGGAATGAAATGAGAGCTGTTTGCAGTTCAGTCAATTCACTTGAACTGAAGGTTACTGTGTACGTATGGGATAGCTAGGGTTAAATAATGATTGGCTCCTACACTGTAGTTACAAGATTTTAATGACTTGTAAATTTATACTGTATGTTGTTGTACACTTGCATGCACAGAACAGGTGCAGATTTATAAAATGGTTGGTTGATAAGTACAGAAGAAAGCACTGAAACAGACATTCAGTTTCCTTGATATTAACACAGAATTAGACTGTAAATCAACATTTTGTCCTCCCTCCTCCTCCTCTTTTCTCCAGCTTCAGAAGGGTAGGATGGGCAGGCAGAGGAAGAGGGTGGTGACTGGTGAAGCTGCTCCCCCTCCAAGGAAAGATGAGAAGCCTGCTGCATTTCACCGCAAAGAAAAGAAAAAGAAAGTTGATATTGGCAAAGTCTTTATCAACATCTCCATTGGCCTTTGCATATTCAGCCTGGTTTGGTTTTTCTATGCCCTCTACATGCGGTCCAGCCTTGCCAAACGGGTGGTGACCCTACATCCGTCACCTCCTGTCCTGGATGCCAATAGTAGCAGTGCCAAGGTTTCCCCGGAGAGGTTCTGGGGCTCATACAGGCCTCAGGTATATTTTGGCATGAAAACCAGGAGTCCCAGGTCAATTGTGACAGGTAGGCAGACACCTCCAGAGTCAAGCTGAAGCTGCTATATAAATTTGTTACAGAACAGTTAAAGGGAAAAATCCAAACCACAGTACACTATATGACTGTGTCCTTGATATACAGTAGTTAATATGGTAATGTGTCCATATTTTGTTGTTGGCTATGATGACAAAGTAGGTTGAGGAGCAGTGTTCACTCAGATTAACACTATTGTGTTTAAAATAATAAAACTATAAAAAATATTTATTTTCCCTCTTCCATCCCTCTGACTCTATGCAATACACAGTTTTATTTCAAATTCTAGTAGAGGTTCTAAAATTTCTAAAGATACAAAATATATCAGGCTAGATTTGGAGAAAACGTATATACATTTCCATTTTATGGAATAGCGGCGCCATAAAAAAACATTGAGTCATAGGTTAGATTTAGGGTGAATATATAATATAATATTTAATCTTTTGCGTTGACAAAATATTTTCTTTGTTATATTAATCAAATCTTCAATGTTTACTTGCACAAAATCAGGGACAGGGTGGGAAACAAGCCCAGGCACTTGTCAAATTCAAGTAAATTCTGGCCACAGTTTCTAGGACTATTTACCCTGTCAGCCAATTTGGATGACCAATATTGTTGATTAGTTGACAGCTGAAAGTGGACTACATTTTCCAATATTGTGTAACAGATGATTAAGCACTGCTGTTCTCAAAACACAGTTGGCTGGTAACATGGTGCATGTAGCCAGTGAGTTTGGGGACCTATGTGAAACTAGTTATTATTTTCCAAATAATTCATTTGTGCATCCTTTTGTGCTTCACAACCAATTGTATTTACTTTGATTGTTTTATCTCCCCAGGCATGATGTGGATGCGTCAGTTTTCTGACATGGATGTAAACCTGAGGCACACTTGTGAACAAGGGGATCGTTTGCAAAGCTATGGCTGGCTGATGCATGATGGGATCACCTTTGGCGTCCAGGAAATCCGAGACAACGATTTCACACTCACCACGGAGTTTGTCAAGAGGATGGGAGGGGATCACGGAGGAGATTGGACGTGGAGGATCACTGCCAAACAGCATGTGAATACTCTTTGTTCAGCCTTATGTGCAGCTGTTCCCTCACATCAGCCGAACACATATGTTTTTTAATAACTGTATGCTGCGGATTTAAAAATGTTTTTTTTTTTCTTTACCCACCAGAGCTCTGCCCCTCAAGCTCCAGTCATCTCCTTGATGATTTACGCAGCAGCAGATACACAGGGCTCACTGGAGGCTCACGTTGAGGAGAGAAACCGTCTCGCATCCATCACTGGTTTCTCAGAAGAACTTGGAAACTTCAAGATCACCTTCCGAAAGCCAGTGACCGGGGAATTGTCCAGTGCTAAATATGCCAGGTAAATGCAGGAATACAGGAGTGAATGGACAAGGAAGCTGGAGGGAATCTAGGAATTGCTTACAACAGCTGACCCATAATACTTTAACCAAATAATATTTTAAATGAAAAGAATATAGTTTTATTTTGCAGTTATAACCCAGTTAGTTCAGTTATCAGTCAGTGAGGGTAAACGAGGCATATGTACGTAGATTTACATCCATAGAAAGGTGAGAAGACATCGTCATATAACAGTGATGAACAGTGGCCATTTAAACCGTATATGAGTAAAAAAATCCATGCGTAGCAATGTGTGTGATGAATCACCATATCTTTTATAGTAGAAAAGCATTATTCGAATGATGAAGTTTGAAGTCTGTTGCACCTCTCAAAAGGAAGTCCAACCACTAGATGGCAGCAAAAGCAGGATTTTCAGCCTTTGTTTCATCAATTTGTAAATCCAAAAAAACAAATTAGAACATTTTCTAAATGTTGTGATATATATTATAGCAGGATGTATACTACATATACCATTTGAAAAGCCAAAGAAAAGCAGGCCATAAGGGTTACAGTCTTTTCCTGAAAAGACACAGCTGTCGTTTATTGAAGGTGTTCATCCGCCTTCAGAAAGAACCATCAGTATTTTTTGTATTGAGTGGATCAGGACTGTCTGCTAGCAACACTAACAGAGAGCAAAACGATTTCACAATTTCATGAGGGCCAGAGAGGACCAGCTTAGCAAAATAGAAAGGTACAGTATGCACTGATAGAAATTATGAGAATTGTTTAAATTATGATTTCTTGTGGGAAGATGAATCATGTAGTGTAAGTTTTAGCTTAAAGTTTGATTTTACTGTGACCAGTCGCTTAACCTCTGAGGCACCAGTACAATACTGCATTTACGTTTATTCATTTAGCTTTCATCCAAAGTGACTTACAATTGCTATATATGTCAGAGGTTACATGCAAGCACCTAGGGGTTAAGTGTCTTGCTCAGGGACTCAATGGTGGATGGGTCACAGTGGGGGATTGAACCCGGGTCTCTCACACCAAAGGCATAGTCTTATCCATTGTGCCATTACCACCCCCTGCAAAGGCTTATACCACGCTCAAGGTTATGCCACAGTAGGCAAAGGCTTCACAAACATTGTTAGTGCAGTTGATATCACTTGTTTGTCTGTGAGTGACTATAAACTACTTTAAAGGTTTTTGTGGCTGCTTTGATTTCATCAATTTTGAAAACAACTAATAGTTTCTTGTCTTTTCAGTTACAACTATCTTCAGACTGTCTCTCCTGGCTTGGAGAAGCTGACTGACATTGTGAAGCACAGTCTGAACCGCAGGTTTGTCTACAGCTCTCCCTCTGGCGAGAAGAGGCATTATATAGCTGTAGACACCTACAAGCCCCCCCCCCACCAAAACCATCAGAAACCCGCTGACACAAGGAAAGACAGCGACTTTGTGGTTCACCAGGTGACCGTCCAGACGCCATTCCAGATTGAAGTTCTGTTTGAGTCTGGGAGCTTCCACAACCGTCCCAACCAACTCGTGGGCCCCGTCATGACTCAGGAGCTGGAGAAGAGGAAAACGGAGTTTGATGCAAAGTTTGAGAAGAATTTTGGGCTTGAGAGCAAAGGTTTTAGCCAAGCACATATTAAGTTTGGCAAGGCAGCGCTCAGCAACATGTTGGGTGGAATGGGTTACTTCTATGGCCAGTCAGTGGTACAGTCAGTGTATAATGAATACCCGCTCCTGTACCCTGAAGGTGCTTTATTCACAGCCGTACCGTCACGCTCTTTCTTTCCCAGAGGATTCCTTTGGGATGAAGGCTTTCACCAGCTGCTGCTGAGCAAGTGGGATCCCCATGTGACAAGGGAGGCGATTGCCCACTGGGTAGACCTGATCAATATGGAGGGCTGGATCCCCCGTGAGCAGATCCTGGGAGACGAGGCTCGCAGTAAAGTCCCAGCTGAGTTTGTAGTTCAGCATAATGAGAATGCCAACCCACCTACCCTTTTCTTAGCTCTTCAGGAACTTATTGAACAGCTCTCTTCAAATCCAGAGAAAGTGGCCTATCAACTGACCTTGCCTTTTCTCCGACGGCTCTTCCCCAGACTGAAAACCTGGTTTGAATGGTACAACACCACACAGACAGGGCCCCTAGCAAACTCTTACCGCTGGCGCGGACGTGACAAGGACACTAATCTTTTCCTTAATCCCAAGACCTTGACTTCTGGGCTAGATGACTACCCTCGGGCCTCACACCCATCAGCAGATGAGCGCCATGTGGATTTACACTGCTGGATGGCCTTGGCCTCAGGCATTATGGCAAGTATAGCCCGGCTTCTAGGTGAGCCCCATCAGGACTATGAACTCTCCCACCAAGTGCTCACAGACAACAACCTGCTGAATGAGCTCCACTGGTCAGAACAACTTCATGCTTTCAGTGACTTTGGCAACCACACCCAGGCTGTGTCCCTGCAGCAGGAGAAGGTGTACGTGCCCCCCGGACAACCTCGTCACCAGTTCCCTGTGGCTCGCCTTGTGCGCTCAGTCCGCCGGGCCCCCAAGCTGCAGTATGTTAATGCTTTGGGTTATGTTAGCTTGTTCCCTTTCTTACTTCACATTCTCACACCGGACTCTCCCAAACTAGAACATATCTTCCGTGACATGAGAGACTCCAATAAGCTGTGGACACCGTACGGCCTGCGTTCACTCTCTAAGGCTGATCCGCTGTATATGAAGCGAAACACAGAACACGATGCACCCTACTGGAGGGGACCGATATGGATTAACATCAACTACTTGGCAGTCAGAGCCCTCCACCACTATAGCAACACAGAAGGACCATACCAAGAGAAGGCAGCTGCTCTTTATGAGGAACTCAGGACTAACATCATCAATAATGTTTATAGACAGTATGTTGAAACAGGGTATATCTGGGAACAGTACAATGACAGCACTGGCAGGGGCCAAGGAAGCCACCCCTTCACTGGCTGGTCATCCCTGACAGTATTAATGATGGCTGAACAGTACTGATACTGTAGATTTCATCTCATCTTTTCTAAGATAATGGCTTTCATTTATCTGGATGTGGTTGAGACAACTACATGATCAGGTGTTAAGATAAAATAATATGTCTTGTCTGGTCGATGAAACTCTACTAGCCACTGAAAAACTGTAATTGCAAGATCCTTCTGAAAAATAGGTATTTATGATCACATTTCACCTTTAATTAAAATAACAGGTTTCACACAGTTGCTCTCTGAAGGGTACCTTCAAGTGTAAGTGCAGCTAACCTGCTGTATGGGGAGCCAAGCACTGTCTAGTGCTTCAGTTATGTGTACTTAAGATGCATTTAGGAAACACTTAATGAACTCAGCCCTCACAACTACAGACACGCACAACTTCATTGCTTTAATATGGAAAATCAAGACAGGTGATTACAGTGTTTTTCTTTAATATGCTGCTTCATCTCTCTGCGTTCATGCTTACACACTTTACGAGTGATGTCGTATATGAAGAACGTCTCAGATTTATCTCAAGTTTCCATCTGGGAAATCGGTGCATAAATGAACAAGTTCTGTATTCACTTGACAAATGCCATTATTCTTGATTGTGCCATTTCTCTTTAATCGTATGTCCTTAGCTCTCTGTCTTAATGGGTGATTTTGATATTTAATTGTTTGATCAAGTCTTTCAGAAAAAGTTCTACAGAGTCTTGCTCAACATTGAAAAATTACTGCTTCTAAAAGCAGCCACATTTTTATATACACAGCCCGTGGTTTGACTGGCAGGGAATTCAACAGTGACTGTGACAATGGTTTTGTTTTGTTAGAAACAATAAACAGTTTAAATAATTTTTGTCATACTGTACTTTTTTGGAAATGTTGGTGTTACTCCACATGATAAATGTCACAGCAGGATGCATGCATGGTTTTTGAATGTGTGCACATTTTATATCTTGGATATAACGTGTAATCTTACATTGGTAAAGTTGCTCTTATTGCCAGTAGATGAAAACCCACCATGACTCCTTTTCTTGTATTTTTCAAATCTTTCCAGTAGTCCCAATAATGCCTAGGAGTGAATATTATCCCCCAAAATACAAATAAGCTCTAAGAGCTGTAATATTTAATGAATATTAGACAGTACAGTGTATTGTCCAGGGTATTTAATTCTCAGTGTACATCCTTAACAGCAGGGATTTGATTGATCTGCTTGCAGTGTTACTAAGTAGCCCAAAATCATACCTTCCTGCAGTTCCAATTATTGTTTATTGACATAAACTGACCCTGTTTTACAAGTAAAGTATTGAAATTACAAGGTCTTTTTCTTCAGCTTCAAGTTAATAACTCTTTAGCAGAGATGTCAGCAAACCTTTGTCAGTCAAAGCAGAAAGTAGCTTCAACAGACTGTGACCTTAAGTACAGCAGCCCCGTCCTCTTTCTTTTGTCAGATGGCACATTTGAAGGCCTCTAGCTGACGTCTGCTTTTTTGCATGGTTTCCATGGAGCGCAGTTGCTGTGAGGGCTAGGTGCTTAATTAGCTAAAATCAAAAGCCGTAGAGAGCACATAGGTGGCGAACTCTTCTTACTTATTGACATATGCTGGCATACATTCACACACAGGGGCAAACGGAGGCAATGTTCTTATTAATGCTTTGACACCAAAAAAAAAAATGGTACAGAGAGCGCTGATACGGGCTCTTAGTCTGTGTGCATGACCACTGGGTTTCAACCTCTATACTTTTATGAATCCTTTGAATGGGCTAGATGTGCAGTTGTATAGTTGAAGGCAGCATGGTGCATTAAGGTTGCGCGGCTAAAAATAGTGCCTCTATCAGTTAGCAGAACAGCAGATAGTCTGTGAAGCCACAGATTGTTAGTTTCACCACATTTATTAGAAGCTACAGCATGTCCCTCAGTTTTTCTTCTCATTAAAATGGTAGATACTGTCTATTAAGAGCAATACAAATAGACACTATAATTAAGTACCTGTGTGCATGTTGAATAAGGTTAAAAAATGAATCTTTTAGCATTTTTTTTTTCAACATTGGGAAATGTTTAGTTGTCTGAATCGTTTGTGAGTTTAGATCTCAAAAAACTAGCGTATGATGTATCAATGCGCAATGATTGCCTTCGGGCTCAGTCGTGGGAGACACAAGCTCATCATTTGACCCCTTGACCTGTTAACGCAAAGCACGGTATCAAGGGATTTGGACACAGATGAGCCATATCCTCTGCCTTTCACTGTTTCTCTCAGAGGAAATGGATTCCTCATCCCTTCAATACGACCACAGTCGAAAATGCATTTATTTCTTTGAAGAGTGCGGACAATCTGTGTGACTAAAGCACTCACTGCGCAATCCATCCCCCTCACCCAAGACCCTTTTTTCACAGTGAGATGGGATAATAGCCAAACAGCATCGGAGCTAACTAATGTGACTGCATAATAAACAGATGAGTCAGGGAGTGTTCATTTGCATATCATCCCAACCATGTCAGAGCGTCTATATAGCGAATATTTTGTGATTGCCGACTAACAATGAATTGTCCGAGGAGTGCAGTGAGCATGGAGTGAACATGGTATCCAAATGGCTGCTACTAAATGTTGAAAGAGAATATTTTTATGCTGGAAATCATGCTACATCTGCAGAGTAATTATAAAGTTGTCTAATAGTTGCTGGAAATATCCCCCTTGTAGCACTGACTTCTGTATTGAATGTAATTACTGGGAATTTATGCTAGAGGGAGCTAATTAATAAGGCATTTGTGAGTGGAAAAGAGGTTTTTGAATACAGCTTAGCTATCATTTTACTTACAATGGAGAGCTACTTAGAATTAAAGCAGTATAAGTGGATAATTATGCTAATGGCTCAATTTGGATTTAAGATATGGTGGCAGGCAGTATTTCTACATGATCACTGCTCCTGCATTGCAGTGGCTCTCACACAGGTTTTCCGTGCGTATGTGGGCTCGTATGTTCATATCATCTCACTGGAGATATTAGACGTTTTTTCCTGAGGCCACAAATGTATGAGTGTGTGCGTACTGACATAACTTTTTTCGCTCCCATACAAATAAACAAGGCCTTTCGGGCAAACTGGCTATGAACTTCTGCTTCTTGTGACGTGTGCTTTTGTTTCCCTGTGCATTCCTCAGGCCTCATTGTGATGAACTGTTTACTGTGTCAATTTCTGTCAGTTTACCGCATGTTAATGTTGTTCGTGGAACTCCGGCTTTGACATCACTGCCCTCCCAGGACCGTGTTAACAGTGTCTGTTCTCCCTGACATCAAAACAGCAAGCCTTCCTTCTTCTCTTTAATTCAGTTGCCATCAGCATCATCGTCCACACTGGCCTAATTGCTGTTTATACTTAATGTTTGTCTGTAAAATACCCTGCAGAATCCAGCATCTCTAGCTCATTGTACCCTGCTTTTGCCCCCCAGAAGCTTGCTGTTGAGCACCAAACTTGCCTCAGCCAACATAGGTCTATGTATGTTATGTAAGGCCCACTATAAATAGGTTCACCCGGGATCTTTTGTCTTTACCTGATTCGCTCTTAGCCCAACAGTTTTTATTTCTGGAGAGAGCTGTGGAAGCTAGTGCAATGTAGAGCTGGCCGTTTCCATAGTTACTTTTGTTAGCTGCAAGCTCTTAACATTCTTCATCTGTTTCCTCACGTCTGCTGTTAGCTATTTGTTGGAATCTGTTTGCATTGCATGCCCCTATATTGACTGTTATGTCCATCAAAAAAGCAGTGATAGAAACAATGTTTCCTAATGATTAACATTTATATCTGTTCATACACCTTGTGGTGTCAATGGATTGGTCAGAAGTACATGCAATTAGTCCCATGTTGCAGGATAATGATTTCGTGCAGTAGATGTTATTGAGCTTCAGTTTAAGGGAATTGCTGGCGTATGTGGTGAAGCAAAAAAATTGCATTTAGTGTGAAATTACATATTTATTGCACTCTATTTATTGTTATCAACATACTATCAGTTATCTGGGAGTGAAGGCATTCTTTAGTTCGATTCAAACATTTTTGAATCAGTGAAGTCAAGAAAATAGGAAAATACACTGTTCTATTTCATGGTTTTCTCTTGAAAATGTCCATGCAGTTAGGTAACAGCAGGTACAGTATCTGGATCAGGCCCAAGAATTGGACTGTCAGAGTGCTGCGAGCATGGATCCAGCAGAGAAGAGGGCAAGGTGGGAGCCATGTGAGTGCAATGCGTGTGGAGGAGTCTGGGGGCATGGTTAAAGAAACACAGGGGCATTCCGCAATCACGATTGGAGAGCTGAATATGATTCTCACCCATCCTTGTTGTAGAACCAAAGAGTACAGGCAGCTGGGGACCAAAGTGGGCGAGTGCGAAAGTATTTTTGGATCGCACGGGAAACCTGCCACACCAACAGCAGCAGCAGCATCGGGGCCTGGTACCGGGCTTCCCTAACCCACTCCCACTCTCAGAGGAAGAGCAGGAGAGAGATGTTCCTTCAAAAGAAGAACCACGCTTCCGCTGCTTTTATTTTTCTTATTTGTGCTATTTTTCTATCAATTGTCCAATGTTTGAATGATGATGCAGTATATATATAACTATGCAGAGCCCGACATGACAGAGTGAGAGAGAGAAAGAGAAAGAGAGGGAGAGAAAATAACGAACTTGGCAGCTGAGGCGAGTATCTTGTATTTATAGAAAGTCGTGTTTCCGGCAGAGGTTTCTGTGGTTTTAGCACTCCCAATCCATTTTTGCGGTGTCTTACAGGCCCTATTGTATCCAGGTTTAGATTGAAGATGTTCCCTCATCTAACGCCTTGGGGGGAGATTTGTCTGTGAGACATGTCAGAATGTGATTTGGGGGAGGTAGATGAATTTCTCCAGCTGTTGTGCAACCCTGGCTTTTGTAGGATTGCTCCATGAAATCTGCCTTACATCCACAAACTTAAAAAGGCATTAGTCAAAAGTACAACACAGCACTTGAGGCTGAATGTAAATGTGTGTACTGTATGCATTTCATGACTATATGGATGCAGGCAAAGCTGTTGCCTACCTTTTTTTCTCTGGCTTTTTGCATTTGTCTTGTCGATCCAGTACAGTTTTTCCTGTATAACCTCTCCGGATCATGCTAGGTTTTAAGTGCTTTTTTATATCAAACAGCAATGGCAGCCTCTGCATCTCAGTGGATTTCCTGGTATGGATCAGGTTCTTCTATTATTTACTCTCAAACAGTGTGGGTTGCATAGTTGGTTGACAGAATGCCAAGGCATTGAGACTTTGAGGAGCTACTGTACATCAAGTGAGATATATTCCATTTTGAAGTAAAACTTGTAAGTCAGAATGGTTGTCTTTAATGCTGTCAAGTAGTAATTAAATTCACTTAAACTTTTTTGGTCTTCAGTTAGTCTGGGT